AGTGGATATGTACAAATAAATCCAACCCGCCTTAGTATTCATGATTCTACCCGCCGCTGTACATCCCGAAACATCAATATACAAAACTATCACTCCTTACGGCTAAAAATGACACATTTGTTCATCCAATTTTGTTTTACAAAGAACGACAGAAAACATAATTTTTAACCCAAATCAATGTATTTACCCTACTAATCTAGATATGTTTGCCATTTAAAACTCAAACCGAAAGTGCGTTTCTTTTTGACTTAAAGGGGTAGGTACTGCTTACAGACAACCAAAACTTTACTATTCGGTCTTTAGGCCATACATCTAAATGACTTAATTTATTACTCGAGAGTGGTGATTGACTTTACGACAATTAATATTTATGACATATGACATCACTATCGATTCTCTAAATAGTATAATTTAACATAATATAAAACCCTATAATTTTTTTCACAATAAACGACTATTAATGGATATCAAAAATATGAAATCAACACACAGACCAGAATTTTTCCGCTAATAAATATAATTAGTAATAAAATTAATCGTATCCCAAAACAGACGCGAATTTCTCCCGCTTTAGGAATATAATTATTAGTAATAAAGTGATACCTGGGCCCGGATCTCCCCACCGGAATACATTATAATTAAAATACTAGTTTGATTGTTTTTAAGACCTATTGGATAAGTCATCCAAAAATAGAAAGCCCTCACACCGTCTGGGGTTTGCATCTTTTCTGATATATTTAGCACCATTTGCACGTACCAAAACATCTTCAGGAAACAAGTGTTCTGAACACTACTCTGGGTTTTTACGAAGGGGCTCATTTTTAAGGATCCCTACTAGAGAAAACCGAAGTTTTCTTTTTACAAGATCTTGCGGAAACCTAAATAGAATATTAAAAAATATGTATAGGTGCCTAATATAGGTAAATCATTTTTAAAGAATTCTACATTTTATGTTAAATTTTCTTTACCACTATTCAATAATTATTTATTGGTATAAGAATAACTTACTAATTTATAAAAGGAATATCACTTTAAAAACTGTTTTAAGACTGTTTTAGACTACATAAGTTTTTGATACAATTTCTTGTACAATTTAAATTGTATATTATCAAACAATTTATTATGTGATCTTATACAGTTTAAATTCTATAAGAAATTATATCAAATCTTGTACAAGAAATTGTACAGTCAAAACAGTCTTAAGACGGGTGCCCTACTTCACTGGTTAAATTGAAAACAACATATCTTAACCTAAAAATACTTACCGATAAAAGGATAAATTTCGATTTAAATGATCTACCTTATTGAACACTACACATGCATGTACCATAATTCTTTATATTTCTCACAAAAGTTCACGAAAATAGTATTTTATAAATGAATAAATCAATAAGTCACACAGAAACTGTCAGAAATACAAAATAGCTGTTAGACCCGATTGGCAACGTTGCGGCTGGTTACGGTAACTACATATCATTCACAAAAGTTGTAAATTCGTAAAATAAGATATTCAGCGTTGCCGTATTTACGGAGTATTTTTAATTATATAATATAAAATTATAGTTATAGGATACATCAAATTTTATTTTTCGAAAGTAATTTCTCCAAATAATTTTTACAGACTGATAAAACCGGCAAAGACGCAATAAACGAGAATCTGGTGGGAATAATGATTTGCCACAGAAAAATGTAAACAATTTGGCTTCTTAGTTGTAATGTCTTTGGTTGGGACTAAAGAGGTAATAGCGCTTTTGACGTGTGTTATTTCCTCTTCAGTTAAATCATTAGTTTTCTTGATAAAACGAAATCTTAGTGGTCGACAAAATCGCGGCGAAGAGGGCGTTGGATTATTCCATAAAACTTTTAATCTCCAGAAACTAATTGAAGAGGCACAAAACAGCTTTGGAATATGCTTGAATCCGAATCAATGTCACTTTCTAGTATACTGTGATTGTTGAGACCCATCGCAGCCCCATTTACTAATTATAGTTAGGCAATCACCCTCTTTCTCCTAGGTACTCCGATAAATGCCTAACGGTAACATCCATTAGAGGCTGTAACTGAGCTTCGGGACTGGTACTCGTTACCATTAACGATTCTTGAGGTGGGTAACATTTCTTTTTGGATTTTTGTAATGCACTGTAACACGGAAAAAACTTTTTATTGGTTTTTCTTATGATTTCGTACTGTCCTTGCGTCAAATCGGCATCTATAAACGTTTGAAAAGCTTGCATTGGTGTCAAGGAGTGCTCTTTACTTGATTTCGTAAGATAAGCCTTTTTATATTTAGTTGCTAGTGTCGGAGGACTGGTGATGCATCTTTTTTACCAGATTTTCCATTTTCGCAGCATGTATTATGATCTCCTTTTCAAAATTAGAACGCAGTTCTTCAGTCCTTCGTCTTTTGCTTCTCTCACTTGCGTCTTCAAACGATTTGGATGGACGACCTGGCAGGTTTTGTGAAGCCCCAACGACAGGTATTTCAAAAGTAGCTTCCAGCTAAGATCGGTTGTATTTTATAAAATTATCTTCTTTATAATGAGCTTTGGTCCACCTTTGTTTAATTTCCAATTTGAAATGGGCAAAACCACGTTCCAAATTAATAATTTGATCTTCATTATAACCTTCACATGACAAAAGTTGATCTTTTAGATAGTTTAATTTAGCATTTAAATTAGGCAAATTTTCTTTCTTCATGCGGTAAAATATAAGTATTGTCGGGTCACAACCCTTACTCCAGATGCACCCTCCAAACCTAAAACAAACATACACTATGTTAAAAGCTGCTAACAAACATTTCCAATTTTATACGAAATTTTGCTAAATATCTTTAATTAATACCTCAAAGCTGTATTTATCCGGACTTTTCCGGATATGTTTTTGTTAGCAGGAAAAGGATCATATAATAACTTATAATGATAACTATAGCTCGATCTACCCCGATACATAAACAAAAACACTAGAATAAAAAAATATTTAAGGAAATTTTTGTTATATAAAAATTATATTGTATAATGGGTAATCATGACTTTATTAATGTATTTTGGAAGTTTCTTACCTTGTTCATCAGAATCAATCACTTTCAATTCGTAAGTAGAACTTAATAACATAAAAATTCACTTTAGAAGTTTAACGTTTAGAAAAGCACCGAGAACAGATACGTACACTAGGTAAAACGGTCAAATGGGGGGTGCGAGATAGCAGGTAGAAGGGCATGGGTATTGTTCCCGGATTCGTCCTCTGTTCGTGGAACTCGTTATTATAAATGTTATTGTTATTTTGTTATTGGGACTTTTGGCCTCGTAGATCGTGCAAATACCTGTATGTGGTCGCCTAGAGTAGTACTTTTAATCAATTAGTTACACTTTATAACGTTGAATCTGAGATATTAAATAGCTGGCGGTTACCTATACTAGCGGGATCTCACCAGTATCAGTTGCGCCAATACTTTAGTCACTCGGTAGATACAACCCTACAAAATAATTCTAAGAGCGAAATCTGGTTCTAATCAACGTCTATCTGCTTGGTAATCCTGACTATATATCTCCTTTTACTTATATAAAATATAAGCAATGGGTGGATATCTATGCAGAAGTCGTTGTATATAGAAACTAATTTCTCTACTCCGTCGATACCTTTTATTACCGTTCTCAAAATATAACAAAAGTGCGACCACCATAATGATGGCGACATCAATTTTTGATTATATTTGAAGAATATAAAGAAAAAGGAGTCACCGTAGCGGTAACGTGGATATTTGCGTTTTTTGTTGACTTGACTCGGTGAAGATAAAAAAGCTAATCCTTCAGTCCACAAAAACCGTGGTATTTATGCCTAAATTTCCCATATATGCAAATGTATCGAAAAGAGAACGACTGTGAACGTTTCATATCTGTTTTTTCTAATGGCCCTTACACGTTGAGTTCTATTCTCAGAAGTAATTAAGCGGCGCCTAGAAGTAGCGAGACGTTGGGATATTGTTAGCATTTAAAATTATAATTTCAATATAATATTTAGTATATAAGAATTATTTAAATTAATTATCAACCTCCGGTTGTCGAATGTCAATCTACAGATTAATAAAAGGTGACAATATTATAAAAACCAAGTAAATAGTATCATAAAAACATTAGTAGGTGTTTCTGTCAGAGATGTACAATAAAATTGTGTGGATAGTTATTTATTAATTATTCAAAACAACATTTACCTTTTTGTTTTTATTTTCTTATGATAAGGTAAGTCAGAGACCATCCGAATCCCATATTGATGGATAATAAATACAGGATGATTCATTTAAAATTTCATCCGATGATGTCAAATCTTGATAAATATGATAGATGACGGAAATCCCCAAGCATCATTGAATAGTGCATAAAATATACGAAAAAACATTATTGAAGATATTTTTCAGTATAATCCATAATTCGGCCACAAATCGGATGTTACGCCAATTTTGCTCAACCCTGTATAATTTGGAGAAATTGTTATCGAGAGCTGTAAAGAGCTTGTTATAACTGTAACGATTGTTTGATTAAAAAATAGTTTATTTATTGAAAACAGTTTATTTATAACGTACTAATTGATTTATTTAATACTAGGCACTATTATAACTCACAATTTTAATTTATTTATTACAATTTGTCTTTACTATCCAACACTTAAATTGAAACTTTTCGCCTTCTGACAAACTCGCTCTATTTATATAAGGCCAGCTCTGCATTAGTAGTTTCTTGGGAACTCCTTCTCTATGACTCGGCCGCCGCGAATCGATTTCTCTGGTAACTTCTCGAAGCAGTGCGTTTGTCTCAATATGGCAAGCTCTAGCCTTCATATCGCAGGTAAGTTAGTAAACAAAGAACAGAGTCGGCTTTGCACGACAATATTAAAACTGTTACTGTAGATACTGATGCCATTGTGATTTTCTCTTTCACACCCAGCTTGTTTCCAGAACGATCAAATTATCTAAATGCTCACACTGTACGTTACTTATTTGTTTTAAGGTTATCCTATCAGTACATAAACAAATTCAAAAATGGAAGGTTTATAAAAATTTGTGGTCTGTAGATAAAATTTCATTTTGTGAAAAATTGATTCAACGGACTACCAATATCACTGTATTCGATGAAAAATTCATGTTTTGGCTGGAAATAATTAAAAACGTGAAGGAGTACAACCCACTGAAGAATATTGACAGTATACAGGTAGGAAATAGCTATTTTTAAAAATGAATGGTTATTTATAGTAAGATAATTACAATATAAATCATATTATAATAAAATCGTTTTATGATAACGTATAAGTAATAAAATAAATGAACTGAAATGTTCTGAAGGCTGTCATATCATGTGTAGATGCAGGCTTTCTAAGGATGCAGGCGTACTAAATATGTATACTTTTCCATGTGATTTATTGAATGTCTAGAGATTATTCTTCTTCTAAGACCTGAAATGTAATACACACTAGGCACTAAAGTTCTTTATATCACTATTTTGGTAATATACCAAATATGAGTAAGTATAAAAAATATATTCAGATTTAGTATATTTGGAAATAAATGTTATTTCAAATATTTTGAAAAAATTCGCAGTTTTACAGAACACGACAAAAGGCTTAAAATACTCAATGGCTGGCTCTCTTTGTATTCACTTTATTACTTTTGTTTCAAGTTTATCCACTATCATCACATATTATGTTAGTTAGAGATTATCAACTTAAACTGCTACAGTTACCGCATCTCCAGCAAAAAATGTATATTAGGAGATTGCCTACCAGTATTTATAAAAATTTTCTTGGTATAATCGGTCATCTTCGGGTGCAGTCAAAATTTAAAAACATTAAAAAAACACATGGGGACGATTACAAACAGTTTAAAATTTTAAAATATCAGAAACCCCATCTTTTTGTTTCAGCATGTGAAGGTGTATTCCTTGATGGAAACAAAGTTTTCCGAAACATATGTAGTGCGGTGATAACAATATAAAATAAAATTTATGACCGATTACACCAAGGAAATTTTTATTTATATAAAATTCTGCTACGGTCTGAAAATTATCCTTATTCAAACTACTATTTTTGTTATCTGGTTTTTCTTTTAACTACTTTTGGCCTTGGCCACCTAACTTTTACTAAGTGGTTTAAAAACATATTTTTTCTACACCCACATGTATATTAGCTTATCTACGCACAGATTACAAAACGAGAAAGTATGCTATTGCCTTTCATATCCATTATAGGTAGAGAGAACACTGCAAAAAAATGTAATCCACCAATCACAGTTCATATTTTGATCAACCGACTGATTTTTAAAATTTTAAATAAGTGACAATTCTGTCAAACTAATTGTCAGTATATTTTTTAGTTATTGAGATTAAACTATGGAGGGTAGAGGAAAGGAGAACAATCTCTGTATACAAAAAGTGTCCCTCAAAATGTATACAATTAAGATGGCGCTTCTGTGCCCAGGGGACGTCGACAGTCGATAATTCAGATCACACAATGACACCAATGATGTATATAGTAATAAATATTGCTCAACCATAAAAAACTAAAAACTACACCGTGAAAAGTGACTGATCGTAGAAGAGTAAGTGTTCTGTGATCGTAGATAAATTTTGACAATACACGACAATAGTCAAATTTTATTGAAAAATAATAATATAAACAATAAATAATTCTTATATTAAGATGGCACGGAGGTCTCAATTTACTGCTTCCTGTCTGATTTCATTATGAATGAGCAATCTATATGACTATATAGCATTGTATTTTGTCCCCTGGCTACACGAGCGCCATCTTAATTGTATACATTTTGGTGGCCACTTTTTAATATAAAGATCCATATAAGATTGTCCTCCTTTTCTCTACCCTCCATAGATTAAACATACATTAAAATGAGATATTCTTGTGTAGAATCTATAAAAGAATTTATATTTTTATTTCGTCTATAATTATAAATAATTTGTTAATTTAAATAAAACTATATGAAGTCAATTTAATGGTATATTCCTATTTTGTGCCGTCCCGTTTTGTGACGCGACCTTTTTCAGGTAAAATGTTTCCCGTTTTGTGACGAGACGAAGTTTTACCTGCAATAAACATTATAAAAATTCCCATTTTGTGACGAGCATAAAACCACTTATTTGTTCCGTAATATTATATCAGTAAGTACCTTACCTACCTGATATAATTCTTTCACCTTTATTAACAATTTTGTCGATTTCATCATTTCGCCAATTGTCAATCTCATAGTAGTCATAAAAATATGAAATACATTTAAATGAAAAAAGTCGTGTGCTTTTTACCAAAATAAGTTTTTGCGATTTTTTTTAATTAAAATACATTTTATGCGTTCACTAAATTTATTGGGTTGAGGACGGCAAACAAACTCTTTCTGTTTAACATTAAAATCACTAGAAAATAGTATTTTGTTGGAGTAAATACGGAATAAAGGTAATAATTTTGTACACTATATTATGACACTGTTACAAAATAGTATTGTGTGTAACCTATGAATTTTGATAAATTTTTTATTCATTTTAATAGCTTTTTTTTAATGTATAATTTTTAACGAATTTTAAAAGTAAAAATAAATACAGGAAATATTTTAATTATATATAGAATTCTTAATCCGACATAAATTTAGTATATTTATTTTAAATTATTAAAGGAACAACGAGGACGAATGCTGGTGATAAAAAATAAACCATTTTTTAATAAAAAAAAATTTTAATTAAAAAAACAGTCAAAATAATTATATATATATATATATATATATATATATATATATATATATATATATATATATATATATATATATAAAATTTTGATTCACTGCATTTTTACAATGAATGTCACATTTGTTAGGCAATGGCCAATGTCTATTTTTTCTTCAAGAAAGTCTGCAACTGTACAGCGAATTCTTTTATCGATTTGCACATACTTGGTTTTCCTCCGTTTTGGCGTCATATGCAACTCAACCCTAAGTTTAAGAGTATCATAATATGATGCTTCTTCTTTGAGAGCTTCTGTAAATTGAAAAATATTCGGATTCACCCTTGCAATTTTTCCATTTAGTCTATTGTGCCAACCTTCCAAGGAATTGGTAGTTCGTTGCCTTTGGTTATAGCACACCCACATCATACCGAAAATATCGTTATCAAGCTACTGTTCCACGAAATAATCGTTGAATTTTTGCAACAGTGGATGATCTTCGAATTTCTCCATTATCCACATCCAACCGTCGTCCACTTTATCAGGAGGAAGGTGCGATAATGCAGCACACTGTCTTATGTGCGTTCGTACTTTTTCATTCTCCCTATATTCGGGTGCCAGACCAATTTCTTGTACTTTTCGCCATAAACATTGGTTGAAATGAATATTGCAACCAGTAATATTAATATTCGAAAATGTCTTACTAAGAGCCTGGTAGGTAGCGACTTCGTAATCAATTTTAAAATTCTTTGGCTTCCATAACGGTATATTCTTCTGAATTAAAGAAAAAAGCCCGGTATACGTTGTTTCCTTCTTGTCTGGCAGTAGAGCAAATACAACAGGAACGATATTGGTTTCACTCTCTGTGCTGCCTACGTCGACGTGAATTGTATGAAGCTGCTGAAATTGTGGACAACAGCTTTTAAATGTCCCATCACCAAAAAAATCATCGTGTTCTGTCAGGGTTTGTCGTGCTTTTAGCGAAGCGAACACCAATATTTTGGCCTCCTCACCATCTTCAAACAACAAGAAGTCGTTTGCAGTATGTCCAGGCAATACAACCTCTTTTCTGGTCTTAGAAGAGACGACTCCTAACACCTGGCGTCTGGTGGTGTAAAGTGAGTTCTTTTTGTTTCTGAAATTTGGTATTTCAGTAACAAATTCAAGCCCAGCATCCATTAATGGCGCTATCTCCTCAGTAAAAATCTTGAACATTGCTGTTATTTCCTCTCGAGCCCTCTTTCTTGCCTTGTCTAAACATAGACTCACTTGGTTTTTGGCGACATTCGGTACACAGTTGTGGGCTGATGTCCGTAGAATCTCGCCTCTGTAACAACAAAAATACATTGTCTCAGCTCTATGAACCATTATACCAGAAAATTCTTGAATCATAATGATAGATGATACTCTTACTTTGTGGAATCTATTTATCTTAAATGAAATATTTCTACAAATATCTACACAAAATTCATTAACGTTTCGATGCATCATTTCCAAAATCATCGTCAAAAACATAATAATTAAAAGCATAATTGAAATTTAAAATTTAACATTATTTGTAACAAAGTCACATTGATATCACTTGAATAATCGTAAACAAGCCATGTTAATTGTTTTTGATGATGATTTTGGAATAAATCGAAACGCTAATGCATTCTTTGTACAGTTTTATAATTAAGACTTTGATTTTTATTAAAGTTGGCAAGAAGTCTTTACCTTCTACACAAAACTCCACTATTTATATTACAAGTAAAATACTTACTTGAATCAATCTACAATTGTTTCGCAAAACAAATTCAGCTTTGAGAAACAATTCTAGATTGATGGCTAAGTATTTTATCTGCAATATTACGCAATCATTAATTAAAGCTATAAATATTAAAAACAATTTGTACAAGACATTTAAACACAATCCTAAAAACGAGGAAATCAAGGATCGATATTTCGAATTAAAAAAAAAAGTAGAGAAACTCATAAAGAAAACAAAAATAGATTATTATAAGGACCAAATCAAGAATAAAAAAAATGACTCAACACAAATATGGAAAACAATAAATGAAGTATTAACAATCCCAGAACCGACAAAAGTAGTTAGCGTAAAAAATGAAGATAATGAAATAATTACATCTACGCAGCAAATATCCGAGAGTTTTAATAAATATTTCGTTAATGTAAGTAAGTCCTTGGCAAATAAAATAAAGTGTAATAAGGATTACAAACCACCAAGGTACATAAATGCCCATTCGATATTTTTCTCTCCTACTAATAATCAAGAGATAATAAGAATAATATCGGACTTAAAAAACAAAAAAGCACCAGGAGATGAGGGTTTGAAAGCAGAGACATTAAAACTAATTTCAGAATATATAGCTAGTCCTCTAACCTATATAATAAATAAAATGTTTCAACTGGGAAAATTTCCTACAGCTCTTAAATTATCAATCGTTACACCTATATTTAAAAATGGAGATAAGTCTGAAATGGGCAATTACAGACCTGTGTCCCTCATATCAAATATTGCTAAAATTGTTGAAAAAATAATAAAAATTAGGCTAACAAACTTTTTGGAAAAACATAACATATTATCAAACTCGCAATTTGGCTTCAGACAAAAAATGTCAACCCAGGATGCAATTAAGTGCTTAACAAAAAATATCTATGAAACATTAGACAAAAATAAACCATCAATTGGAGTATTTATTGATTTAGCAAAGGCTTTTGACACTGTAGACCATAGCCTGCTTCAATCATCTTTAGAAGACATAGGAGTGAGAGGTACTGCTAATGATTTGTTTGCAAGCTACTTAACAGGTAGAAAACAAAAAGTAAAAATCAAGCAGGATCTAAGTAGTGAACAAACTATCATGTGTGGTGTCCCTCAGGGAACAGTGTTGGGTCCAGTGTTATTTATAATTTACCTAAACAATTTGTTTTTATTAGAAGAAGACAACAAAATAATTAGCTTTGCAGACGACACGGTAATATTTTATACAGCTTAAAATTGGTTTGAACTAAAACAAAAGGCTGAGGTCCATTTATCCGAAATTAAAAATTGGTTCGATCACAGACTACTTTCAATGAATTTCAAAAAAACTTTGTATGTACCTTTTAGTTCTCTAGACTCATCTCTTCCAAATTTTAAGTTAACAGTCCAAAACACAATTCAAATTCAACCTGCAAACCAAATATAATATCTAGGTATTGTCATTGATAGTATGCTAAAATGGAACGTACATATTGATTTTTTAGAAAAGAAACTTAGATCAATTCTATATAGGTACAAACAGATCTCAGAGATACTGGATATTAAACAAAAAATTATAGTATACCAAAGTATAGTTGAACCGCATATTAGATATGGTATTTTAGGATGGGGCGGTGTTACTAGAACTCACCTAAATTCTTTGGAAATTCTTCAAAGAAGATTTTTACGTATTATTTTAAATAGAGAGGCTTTGTGTGCAAGTGATCAACTATATAAAGATACAAATATATTAGACTGTCGTCAGCTATTCTTTCTTCAAGCATGCAATACTCAGTTTATGACGAAACATTCCCTCAAAACTGGAACACATAAGTACGAAACAAGACAAAGGGAGGACATTATCTTGCCTTTTATGTTCAAGTCTATAGGACAAAGAAGTTTTAATTATCTGGGTCCTAAAGTTTTAAATTTGTTTCTAAAAAATACAGATAATGTAAATACAAAAAACTTGAAAAAAAAATTAAACAAGTTCTGATGCAACTACCGCGACAAGAAATAAAAAAATTGTTAGATTAGGAATAAAATAGGAAAAAAACAAAAACACAAAAAATAAAAAAAAAAAACAACAATCTAAACGTATAAAAAAAAACGCAAAAAAAATTAAAGAAATCATCCAACAAATAGTATATTTCTTACAATTGTTTTTGATTTGTTTTAATTAATTTTTAAATTGTTTTTAATTTGATTTTAATTTTAGTTTTTAGTTTTAGTTTTAATATGTTTTTAATCATTAATCTATATATGTCTGTTTATTTTATTTTATTATGCAAAAGCATGCTTACACACAGACATTTTATGTCTCGTAAGTTTTCTTTTATTCACATAGGTACCATTAATTTTCTTTTGTATCACAAGTTTTATAAGTATGTATTTATTGTTTTTATGTGAATAAATTATTATTATTATTATTATTATTATTATTATTATTATTAATATAGTGGAAATTTACATTTAAAAAAAAATTGATTCTTGAATTAATTAATAATAATAGTTTAATTTCTTCATTAGGTCTATATAGTGCATAAAAAGGCATTGGCGTTTAACGGTGATTTTTTTAAATTGCCTGCAAAGTATTGAAAATAAAAAATTACAAAATAAAATATTACAATTATAACAAAAATTGTGAAAAATATTAAGGACACAGTTACCTATTTGTTAAAATTGCACAAGGACAAAATATATCTATACTACAATAAAAATAAAAATACTTACTGGCTCGAAGTTGTTACGGCTCCAGAACACTGTTTTCTATTCACACACATCCAGGCTATAGAAGAGTTTTGATTTGGGAAAAAGCTCTTAAAAGTGAAAGGATTATTTTTAGTAACAGGTAGATATTATTTATTATCCGCTTTCATTTCAAAACATACCAGTCGAAATAACTTTTGATTTTATGCAAATTTAGAAAAACAAAAAAACACGCAGTTTTTCCCTTTTAACGCGCCCCAACCCTTATTGAAAAAGTCAAATGGCAATCCCTACCTTAAAACTTAAAAAATGCAATCCAACCATACGAGTATGAACCAAAATCTATTATTTTGATTTAGTTTTCAAATAATATTATATGAGAATAGTGAAATTACTTCGGAAACTGAAACAGTCATTTATAAAAATATCTGAAATTTTATTTACAAAAACTATTCAATAAAATGGGCTCCGTTATTTTATAAACAATAATATATCTATCTATTCTATTTTAAATTCTTATCAGGTAGGTAAGGTACTTACTGATATATAATATTACGAAACAAATAAATGGTTCTATGCTCGTCACAAAACGGGAATTTATTGCAGGTAAAAATTTGTCTCGTCACAAAACGGGAAACATTTTACCTGAAAAAGGTCGCGGCATAAAACGGGACGTCACAAAATAAGACGACAACAATTTAATAACGAGTAATAAAGCAAAAAAAATAAACGCGTAAATAGTCCTGTGGTTAGGGTTTTTGCCTTCCACATGGAAGACTGGAGTTCCGATTCTCGGATGGGGAAAAATGAAATGAACTTTTCTTCTTTTTTTTTGTTTATTTTATTTTAAAAATTATTAAAATTCATAAATTATTTTAAAATTAGTTATTTTGTCTTAACTAAACTACTATTTCCGAAAATTAAAAACTAATATATTGTAGTTGAATCTCCAACCCCTAATGAGCACCATCATTGAACACTGCGAGGAATGGATACTAACACTTGGTACCTTAATTGATGAAAATAACTCGACAAAAATGAAAGAGCTGAAAGACAAAATTGAAGATCTAAGAGTTATGATAAGAATGAATATAAAGGTAAGTTGAAACAGTAGAAAAAAGAATCATACTAGATAATGCCCCTTTATATAATTTAGGGTTTAGAAAAGTTCAAAAACGTTCTTTTTGCCATCGCCAGCGTAATCAAAGGCAACGTTGCTGCAGAATTAGAATTCTACAACTTCCAAGAAACATATAGAATGCTAAATCAGCACCACATCGAATTTTCAAAGGATCACGAGACGTTAGCGTATCAGCTGGAGAAAGAATGGCACGTATTGTTATTGGCTGCCATTTACAGGGAACAATTGTTGGAGCCTGCCAAAGAAAGATATGCCGGATTGACGCAAGCGCAAATTGCAGAATTTTTAGAGGTGTTGAAGGAGTTTATGCAAAGATACATAAATGAAGGACCGGAAGCTGTGGGGGAAAACTTGGACTTAGGTAAAAAAGAAATGTTCGTTCCGGGAATTTTATGTGTCGCACCCTGTGTATGCTAAAAAATTTGTATACATTTTTTTTGTTCAATTTTAATTTAATTGACAATACTTTCCACTTTTAGGTTTAAAACTTATGGACGAATACAAACACGAATTCGAGGTTTTGGAAGCAAAACGACAAGATTTGGTACAAGCTGAAATGCTTTTTGATATACCGCTAGTTGACTACTCTGATTACTTGTCTGCTAAAAACAGTTTTGAGGGAATAGAAATTATTTATAAACATTTTAAATCATACAAACATGCTAAAGAGGTAAGAAAACAATAAGAGATGGTACCAGGGGAGTTGAAAGTTAAAAAAAATATGACAAAGCGTTTTGATAGAGACTGCGATAATTTAATCAAGAATACTTATTATAGTTAAAATGGTTAAACAATCATTATATTACAAATTTATTTAGCTACAAATTGTAGATAAATGTGTGTTTTCGAAAAAAATACGGAATTATATTTTTTAATATGTCAGACTGCAACTAATCTTAGATTAATCAGCATTGTCATAATAATCTAATTTACTACCAAATTTTAAATCTAGCTTTGACTTGTGTTCAATACTAGTTTTTAAAATATTCTGCACACTTCGAAATTGTGGCTCATATCACTAATTCTGCTTTATCACAATCATCATTTCACTTACATCACTTCAGTTACACAAGCTCGAAAGGTTTGACTCTAAGTCTGCGCACTAGTTTTTGGCTGTCTAAAAGTTGAAGAACTTCAATGTTGATGTGTTTGTGGAGCCTCCCCTCATGTCTTTTGGTAATTTTCTTAATTTCTTCTGGAATTGATTCAAATTGGTCTTTATTCGGAACATACCAAGAAGCATTAACTATGTTCCTGAGAATTCGGTTTTTGACTATTTCTAGTTTTAATAGTTAGCTGTTCAGTTTTTATTTTTACGTGCTCCTTCCATTTTAATTTAGCGTCCAGATTTAGTCCGATATTTTGCTGATTTTGTTATTTAAGTTTATTGGTACACATATAATCTATTCTTCTATTGGTAAAGTTAATGTGAGCCGATTGTTCTTCGTTAATTTTTTTGCGCCACTGTTTAGACCAGATTTGTATGCTATTGATTCTGTTTTGAAGATTAGCTGTTGTTTCTTTTATAGTTGAGACAGCTGTATCATCAGCGAATGTGGCTAATTTTATATTTTCTATCTCTGGAACGTCATAGGTGAAGAATAAATATAATACCGGAGCAAGAACACTTCCCTGTGGGCATTCGTTTTCCAAATGCCGATAAATCCAGTTTTACTGATTTTGAGATATTGTTCAAAAACATATACAGCGGAATCGGCTAGGTATTTTTAAAAATTTATTGAAGGGGTTTGCTCTTTTTGGTTTGTCTTTGATTGTCCCAAAATTTCGTGGTCGTTGTATTTTTTGTTTTTATTTTTTTAGTTTTTTTTTTTGGATTTATCGGTTTTTGCTTGAAAAATAAGTTTCTGTGGCTTTATAAAAGAGGCGTGTTTAAAAATCTATTTGATTTTATTTTATCCTTATCAATATGGTGATAATAGAAATAGATGGGGGGTGGGTTGGCTCAGTAGTTAGAGTCATGACTTTGAGATCGGAAGGTCTCAGTATCGAATCCCACCGTTGGCCGGAATTTTTTCATTTAATTTAATTATTTAAAATTAATTCTGATGCCTTGGTAGGATTCCCCACTCGACCATTCACTGTTGGGTTCTAATTAACAGTGCTGTTCCTAAAGTGGCGCTGGGAAACAGTAACAAAGCCTACACAGAACACGAGGCTAATGGCCGTAGTAGTCGACGCCGATGACACCAATTAAAAAAAAAAAAAATAGAAATAGATAACATGATTAAATAGATATTTTATTCATAGCACAAAGCAGAACAGTGAATATGATATAACAAGAGCAGACAGTTAACACAGAAAGAGTTTGGACAAAACATTTTATTAAAAAAAAAACTAAACATGAACAGCCACTTTCTCTTCAAGACACTCGCATATACATTCCATTTCAACAATGGGATCCCCTTCTTCATCGGGTAATGTATTTCCATGAAGTAATGTCCGATACCATTGCAGATCCTCTGACTCCTCCCAATTCAGACCAAATTGCTGATTTAGCAAATGCTGAAGATTTTTTTTCTTCTCTGAAATGCCCCGTTTGGTATCTTTTTCTACTATTGTTAAATCTAGTTTCGAAAACTTAGGTTTCAAGAATTTTTCAAACTTTTCTGTTCCTGAGCAGTAGTAATAGGGGAGGCCAAGCGGGGATTTCGGGATTTACTCAAGCGCGGCAGATTACTATACAGGGGGATACCTTGTACCCGGTTAAGTACCTCCACCAAATATCAGCTATATATATATATATATATAAGGCCGCCCGTGAAGGATAAAGAATCAGATTATTAAAAAAAATTGATCATCTGAAATTCTCGGGCGCGTCAGATTAAGGTAGGGTGAGTTAATTACATGTTAAAAAGTGTATATTCCACTAATCTGACAATTTGAGAGTGACGTAAAGAAAGGGGAGGGCAGCAATGTTGTCATCTCGACATTCTCGAGCGTAGCTATTTTTTTTTTATTTTGAAGGAAATAATTTAAGGATAACGAAAAATATTTAATCTGACGATTTCCGCAAGCCGAAATAACAAAAATTCCTTGATAAAGTTTAATGCGTGCAGCTGCGTAATGCCTACATTACCCTCTCCGCGTGGCAGAAGTTTAAATTTTTTTATCGGGTTTTGCTTGAAATTTGGATTTATCGTTATTTGCATGAAATGGACAAATTAAGGTGCTTTTTTAATACGATGTATCGGGATTTGCTTGAATCTAATGCGCTAGGTCGGCAAAGCGCACCAAAATTAGTAAAAGTCCAAAAAATGTAAAAAGTGGATTTATAGGCGTTTGCATGTTTGCTCCACAAATGTTCTTTACGTTGGACATATTGCATCGGAGAATATTAGAGTACGATTCAACTAAGAAAAAGCCACACACATCATACCTGACAAAGGCCGCAATAATTTGCCTCTCTCTCTCAGGTCCATCCCATTTAAGCGTCAGTGGCGTTTTGGCGATTTTTTCGTTTTTCTAATATGGAGATACAATTGCTTAATAATTTGGCAATGCTGTACGACTGCCGCGTGGTCCAGAATATAATTCGAACAGAAGCTATCGCGTAAACATGGATCCCTTATTATTGTGAGCCAAACTTCGGCGTTGCCAAGCTAATACGGGTTCATCGGAAGAAAGTGAAGACAGCGAGAGTACTATACTCATACTCTGTTTTTAAACTGGGAGGAGCGAATTGAAAAGACGCATTTACGCAGGGAAAAGTAACTAGATTTGTTACTAAGAGCGAGTTTCCAAATATAGTCGTGTTCAAAAGTTATGAAATAATTATCTTTATCGGCCTTAGTCGGTGAACGGCCAATGAGCGGTTAAGAAACGAATAAATGTCATAGAAGTAATTTTTTAATTAGTCCAGACAACGGTCGCAAATTTCACATTATTGTGATCTGAAATGTGTGTCTAAAACGAAATGTCACTGTCAAATTAAAGTCAATATGGTTGTTGATTGATGTCAGAAATACTTTTTTCTTGCTTTTGAAATCGACTTTTTAAGAATAACTATGATCTTTTTAAAATGGATATTAAATATTTAAGAAAATTGTTAATAGAATATCCAGATGTAGCCAGGTTAGTATAAAATATAAAGATCTGTTTACATTTTTAAGGATATATTTGTTATAGGTATAAAAAGTAAAAGTTAATCAGTGAATGACAAGTGGATCACACAGTAACTGGTATCTCTTCTATGAGTAATGTGGATATTATGGCTTATTTAGTATTAACCCATGGTTAGAGGGCAAATAAAGGCATTCAAAAGTTTACAGGCCTATGAGTCAGAATTTGTTTTGAAAACTGGAACCAACATTTTCATAACACTATATGTCAACATATATTTTTTAAAGTGAACTATTCATACATACATATGTATTAATTTTAAGTATTTTTAAAATATTTTTTGTGAAAGTAATGTTAACTCATTGTGCCAAATTAAGATTATCCCTAAATAGTCTAAGATCCGAAGTAAGGTCGACCTTCACCCATCTGTTTAATGGATGAAAGTTTCTTTTTATTACATAAAATATATTTATAAATATACCGCAAACGGGTTGCCTAAGAAAATATGGTCCAGACGCCTCAACTATGCCCAAACTTTAGTCAGCTCACCGCAGGATGGATTAAAGCTTAAGTTTAAAATTTGGTGTTTTTTCTTTATCCGTTTTTGAGTTGTCTTCAAAATTCGAAATTTGCACATTTCCTCAAATATCTCGAATTAGGTTCATTTTAGGAAAATCATGTATAGAAACAAAATAATAGATAATGACATCATAAACAACTTTTATCATGATTTTTATACTTTACTTTTCTGTACACAAAAAGGAAAGTAAAAAATGGCCGTGACCGTATTTTCTTAGGCAACCCATTTGCGGTATATTTAAAAACATATTTTATTTAATAAAAAATAAGTTTTATCCATTAAACAGATGGGTGAAGGTCGACCCTACTTACGGATCCTGGACTAAAAGAAGTAGATGGTGTTTTAAATGTTTTTAAATTTTTTTAAATAGTTTTATTCTATTCTAATAAATAAAATTAGCTTGAATATTTAGTTACATTTTAATCATTTTGGTTATAAATTCATCAATTTTTAGTTTTAAAAAATCAGTAATAAAATTATTTTTTTCTAAAATACTTCGGAATTCATCTCTTTATGGTAATCTCCCATCTTTTTACCTTCAAAAACCAATAAAGCATTTTCTACAAAACCTTCAGAATCAGCATGTAAAATAATAAGGTGTCTTCCCTTTCTTGTAAGGCTTTTCAGGAATTGCTACCTTTAATAGTACTCGGTGTAGAAGGATCCATAATTGTAGATTTTCAATACAATTGCTTACTGAAGAACTATTATTTACGAAATAAAGTAAAAAACTAAGTAATGGATGAGATATCAAATTATAAAATGTCAGAACTGTCAACAATATCAATTATTAGCTGATGTTCATGCTAAAAAGTAATGTGTGAAACTGACTGTAATCTGACCAATCAGAAGGCTACAGAATTGCCAACTTATATTCAAATCGCTCCTCTTAGTTTGAAAACAGAGTATAATAGTTCATTAACGGACGAACTAGGATGTACTCCTCTAGTTTCACTTTTTTGCACTAGTTGCATAAATAACTATTATTTTAATTGTAATAAAAATCTTAAATTACAAAATTGTGTTGCTATTTTTATTTACTTCCCACTAAATGTTTTGCAAGTCTAAAGTCGAAAAATATATGTAATGTTATTTTAGTTTAGTTATTTAGGTAATATACAAATGTTTAAATCATTAACATTTAATTTTTTAATCCAATAAATGTTTTTTGTTGGGAAACTGCTTTAATTCTTATTTAAATAAGAGCCTACGCCAGTGGTATATCGATCTGGAGCAACGGAGAAGGAATATTTTAAAGTGAGGCAGACGATGACTAGTTGATGACGTCCGTGGCTTTTTCTAAGTTGAATCTTACTCTACTTTATTTTAAATAGTAGGTTATGATGCCACACTTTTTCGAAGGCTCTGTAGAATAAGTTTTTTTCTTCCATAGAATTGTTAATTTTATTTATTATGCGATGGATCTGATCAATCGAAGAATGTTTATCTCGAAACCCGAATTTATGGGACGAGATTAATTGTTTTTTGTCGATTATCTAATTCAGTCTTTTTAAGAGCAATTGCTCTAATAGTTTTAATATTACAGATAGAAGCGAGATTGGTTTATATAAAATTATTTTATTATTGGGTTTTCCCGGTTTGCGTATCATTATTGCCTCAGCAGTTTTCCATAGTAGTGGAAGTGTGGTGAATTATAAATGTTGCATATATTATATTGGTGAATTTGCACAATGGGCCTAATGAGGCCTAGGTGCCGTGGGGATAACCCACCCTCCACACGTTACAGATACAGATTATATTGGTCAGTTTTACTAAATCATATCGTGGTAATTTCTTTAGTATCTCTCCTGTGATCAGATCGAACCCGGGAGTTTTTTTATATTAAAACTATTTTTTATTTCTCTTTGTACTTCTTTCCGACTAGTTAATGTGTATAAAATGAATACATAAAATAAATTTAAAATTTTGCAGATGTGGGGAAAGACTCTCTGGGCTAATCTCAACCCTAATGCTCTCGTTGAGGGTATAGACAACTTCATCAAAAATTTCAGAAAACTCCCAAAAGAAATTAAAGCTTTGAGTGTTGGCGTGACTCTGGAGAACACGCTCAAGCAGTTTCGAAACGCCGTTCCTCTTATGGTGGCCCTGAAAAACGAGGCTCTAAGAGAGAGACATTGGAAAATGCTTATGGACAAAACCGGAATCAAATTTGACATGTCCCCGGACAAGTTAGTATAGATATGTATTATTTTTTCTTAGTAGAACGAATTTGAGCCAGGAACACTAAAATTGTATTGATACATTTTAAATACGAGTAGTATTTGAAACAATTCTTCCACTCATATAAAAAAAAAACCACTAAAATAGTAGTTTACTGTCAGCAAAATAGGAAGGAACAAAAATGCAAGTGGATAAAGAAAGTGAATGAATAAATTATGGTACCATAGTAATTATTTGCATTTGTAATTTTGTTATATGGTTTATGTAAAATAAAGAAGTAGGTATAGTCCATTCATTTACCATCCCCGTTACTTGCATGGACAATGATGTGTCTTCATCCCTCGCTTGCACAATCGGATTTTATTGATTTTTTTGTATACTGCCAGATTTTTTTTGTATACCCCATCGAAAAAATCTAGGTCTCATCTAAATATACAACCGAAGCACCACTTCTTTTAAACTAATTTCCTAAGAATTGAATGCGCTATGGACTTCCGCTGATTTATCTTATAATGCCTTAAAATTTTCTTTGTGAGAGATTTGTGTATTATTCTCCTACATTTTTAAAAATTTCTTCGATTACTTAACGTACGAAACTGTACTGGTTTTCTTTAGGTGTGTACAGAATAAAATTACTGGCATCACTAAAAACTCTTTTTAATCTTGACTACCGTGTCAAAATTGCCCTTATAATATATTTTTGATGCTTATTCTCATGAAATTAACAAAGAAAAGTAATCACGGCTTCTAGATATTGATAGATTTAAACAAAGAGAATAATTTTCAACATGGCGAAGTCATTGTTGACGGTATTTATCGATGCGATGAGAAATTGATTTTGTTGGATGACGCCATGCTCTCTCAAAGTGACCTTTTCGCGCTGGTTCGATCAACCAAGCATCTGCGAGATAACAGAGACAACCCAGCAAGACGTGTAACTCAATGTATTTTTTTTGTTTGGTAAAAGTTGTTTGGACGATTGTAATCACAACCAGTCTATGATGGCACCACTAGTAAATAGCGGGAAAATTAAAAATGCTTTAGGGCGGGAAATTTAAAAATGAATTCAGAAATAAATAGTTTTTCTATACAAATTTACAGGAGAAACAAAAATTATTGTTTCACTGTATATTAAAAAATATAAAAGCTTCCAATAAGATAAAAAAATTTATCATATAAATAACCATTTTAATATAGAAAGTTTTAATCAGTTTAATATAAGCAGTGAACATAGTTTTTATTACTCTTGTAAATTTCGCTAAAAAAACTTGAAAATTCTATTGATTATTAAATATTTAAACTTGGAAAAATAAACACCAAACTCTTTTTCTATAAATTATATTTTTGTAAGGTAGAGAAAAACAAACTACAATTGCTATGTTTAAAAAGTACCTTGTATCATTTTGTGATAAATTACAAAGAAAGTCACAGTTGTTATATATTCACAATATATTTAAAAAATAATGTAACAAATATTTTATAAAGTATAGAGTATATCGATATCTTTTTGCCAGGCTATCATAAGTGCCATTTGAACAAATGTTGCTTACGCTAGTCTGGCAAAAAGGTATCGATATGTTATGACTGTTGATTTTAATAGAAACCATGGAAACGAAACAAACACATACACTCACACAAAAGTATAAGGCACAAGTCAAGTAAGTTCCCATCCCTTAAACTGGATCGAAACATGCTAAAGTCTATTCAGATTTCATTTACGCCGCGTCAAAACAATCTCTCCCATCCAGCAACAGTTCACGTGACATTTTTTTTGCGCTTCTATTGGTTAATCGGTCGTTAGTCATTTAGACGACGCGCAAATATTTTTTGTCAGAGTCGAATTCAGTTCAATTTGGATAATTATAAACGGCGTTTTGGTAGCATTCACCGTGTTGGTTAGTTTGAAGATTTTGTATGTTTGATTGATTATAATTCATTATATTATAGTTTAGATATACATATATTGTGTTATTTATTTTTTTTGTTTTTGTGGTTGTTGTTAGTTTGAACATTTTTTACTCTATTTTATGGACATATTTTGTAACTGCTGCGTGACATTATCTCCTCCACAGATATAGCAGATGACGTTCAGAAAAATGTTTTTACTCCTTCTAAAAAGCGACCGAAAAAGGGACATTTGGTCATCCGTACTAAAGAAATGGTTCTTAATATTTATAAGGATTAAATTTTATAGAACCCTGATATATTGGTACATGCTGTTGAAAGGAGAGTTGCTGATAAAACAGGGATGTGCGCTAAAACCGTTTTTAATTTTATGAAGGAGTATAGGCAGATTCATAAATTTTCTGAACCAAAAAGAAAGCTACGTTATAAACAAATTAGTGGCTCTGTGGATGATTTTGATAAAAATGCAATAAGGCGCAAAGTACATCAATTCTTCTTTAGAAATTAACTTCCAACAATCGATAAGGTTTTATAAGAAGTCAACGATGATCCATATTTGTCTACTTTTAAGCGAGCTACATTTTACAAGCTTTTCAAAACCCTTAATTTTAAATTTAAAACTTGAGGAAAAAACAGTTTGCTTTTAGACAAAAATTAAATTGTTTCGTCCTACGCCACAATAAATAAAACGGTACAGAGAAGAGAAGCAAAAAATATATTATCTTGATGAGACTTGGATTAACGCAGGCCACACCAAATCAAAAGTTTGTTTCGATATGTCGGTTTTTTCATCCAGACAAGCCCTTTTGGATGAACTTTTAACTGGTTTTAAAAACCCATCAGGTATGTGCGTAAAAACAGCTCATTATATGCCATATTGGAAGTGAAGAAGGCTTTGTCTCTAATGCACTTTATGTATTTGAGTTGAAAAATCCTGTGACTACCATGAAGAAATGTGTGGAGAATCGTTCATAGAGTGGTTTTCAAACACTCTACCAAAATTAGAAGATAACTGCATTATTATTCGATAAAGCTGGAAAAAATACCTATAACGACTTCTAAAAAAGATGATATTTAAAAATGGATATAAGGGAAAAAATTGAATTCGACTACCAAATGATTAAGATCCAACTTCTAAAACTTGCTAAGCAACATAAACATTATGATACGTATGTAATAGATGAAATGACTAAGCAGCAAAACAACATAATATAATATATATAATCTAGGTTGACGTTAAACAATACGTAGTAGATAAAAACTCAACATTTAAATCTGGAGACATTAAAATTCTTTTTGTAGAAGTAATATTATTAGTTTCTCCAGAAAAATGGAAAAAGTTATCGACCATAATCGCCAAAAAGTTGAAGTAAAAATGTGGTAGTTGGATAATATTACAGAGGTTCAGGTAGAACCACTTGTAATTTTGATTAATGAAGATAGCCCTTCAAGTCTAACTAATTTATCCGATTCAGAATAGTGCTAACTCAAGTAAGGAAGATTGCTATAATACAGGGTACAAGGTGTCTAATCTAAATACTAGTAGAACAAGAACAATAAAGTACAAAAGTCAAAAATACAAAAGGTTCCTTTTTAAGATGCACAATTTTAAATCAAATACCAAATTCAAATACCAAATACCTCTTTTATTTAAAGTTTTTTTAATGCTTTTAGTAGATATATATTAACTATTAAAGAATTTGCAATTATTTGGACACCCTGTATAATATAATTTTATAATATGATTGTTTTAATGCTCTGTATCACAGTAGACATATGTAATGAACTAAATATAATGCAAACATCTCTTTTAAAGTCAAATACATTTATTAATTTGTATTGCAGGTTAACGCAGTTTATGTCGCTCACCTATCTTCGTCCAGAAATGTCACTAAAGTTTGGGAGACCGTGTATGGCATTTATTTTATAGTTTTAGTTTACAAAATATGTTTTTATCGTAATAAAAAAATAATTTTACAATTACTCTTTTATTTTACATTTTTGCAAGACGGAAAAGTAAAATACGGCCCTGCTCAATTTTAGCGTCCACCTGCTTCTATTTACATCAGGCGTAAATTAAATTTGAATAGACTTTAGACCCATTCCGCACACCCCCGTGCTAACTCCTCTTAGGGTCATCAAAATCAATAGATTTATGTGCCATGCCTTCTAAAAGGGAATGAAGGATGACATACTATCATCATTTAAACAGGACGTTGCTGAAGGTTTACCCCTGTTATGTTGTCTGTTTGTATATCTTGTGCGTGTGCATTCCTGTTGTGTCCCCAGTCATGTAAAAGTTTTCCTAGTCTCCTAATTTGGTGACTAGGTGGACCTTCTCCAACTAGTCGTCTAATCTAATCGATCTGCTCTGCAGCAGGAGGTACTTTTCAAACATATTAAATAATATTAATAATAAACACTATTTAAAGATGAATACATTTTTGTAATTTTTTGACGTTGTCCCTTACCAGGGTATATCTATTTTCCATACTCCCTTAATATAGATTACCTTACGATGTTTGAATGAATATAACATTTTACCCGCACGGTGCTTGGGAACCAACTTTAAATGAAAAGTTTATTTACTAGACTTTTTTTTTGGTCAAAGTATTTCTGAAGGGCTATAGATTGGCGCAATATATTTTTTAAAATCGGTTCCAGCAGCCGTTTTTGAGAAAACTCGATTTTTAATGAAAAAGTGACCTTTTTTTTTACTTTTTTGCTTGTAACTTGCGCATTTCAAATTTTCTCGGCTTGCCAATAGTAAATTTCAATAGGAAAATGTCCGCTCTACAAAAAAGCATCAATTACTTTTTTCTCTAAAATCAGCCGATTTTGTGTTAAATGAGATCTCATTTGTGGCCTTTTTTTTACTTTTTTGCTTGTAACTTGCGCATTTCACATTTTCTCGGCTTGCCAAAAGTAAATTTCAATGGGAAAATGTCCGCTCTACAAAAAAGCATCAATGACTTTTTTCTCTAAAATCAGCCGATTTTGAGTTAAATGAGATCTCATTCTCAGGGGTTTAAAGTTTTCCAGAGACTCTAGTTCTTTCTACATTTACATTTCCTTTATTTTTAATTAAACAATGTTGTCTCGGTAGCTCAATATGTCGAGCGGTCTTGTATTTAATTACTGATTTGTATTTATATTTCGTTACTTTTTACTATTGGTCACAACAGACTGTATAGATATTAATACACAATAGGTAAAAGAAGGATTTGTTTTAGAATCGGATATAATTTTTTTACATTAATCTTTATAATAGTCTAACACTCATAAGTATCTAAATCAATAAAATTGTTGATTACATAATGGCTATTAATTTAGGTTCACTTTGGATAATATGTTTGCGATGGAACTCCACCGTTACCAAGACATGGCCGAAGAAATTATCAATAATGCCATTAAGGAATTAAGCATTGAAAAAGGCGTTAAAGATGTTGCCGATGTTTGGGCTTCCATCAGTTTTATTGTTCATAAACATACAAAAGGACTTGAAGATCGAGGATATCTGATAGGTTAGTAAATTTGTAGATACATACAAAGCGTGTTAGAAAATGCGCCCGTATATTATTAAAAGAGATACATTAGACACGAAATATATGAGAACAACTCTTTTATTTTAGGAGCCACTGATGAAATAATGCAAGTTCTTGAAGACAATTCGATGAATTTGCAAAGTATGGCTGGATCACAATTCGTCGGACCCTTTTTACCAATAGTACAAAAGTGGGAAAGAGCCTTGGCCACTATTGGCGAAGTAAATAACCCATTTAATCCATGGGAATACAAATATTTAAAAAACTTGTTTTAGGTAATAGATCAGTGGCTTCAAGTTCAGCGCAAATGGCTATACCTGGAAGGTATCTTCGTGGGCGGAGATATAAGATCGCAGTTGCCAGAAGAAGCGAGAAAATTCGACGATATTGACAAGATCTTCAAAAAAATAATGTTAGAAAGCGCAAAAAGACCCAATGTGCTTGACTGTTGTACCACTCCAGGAAGATTGGAAGAATTTATAAGTATGTAGTATGTAAATATTTTTACAATTATCCGGGTGCTGTAGTTAAAATTTAGGAGTTGGTAAAAACTACCATAAAACTATAGCAATATCGTTGACTACAGTTCCAAATCCACTCTATTATCTAAATTAACCAGACCAAAAATAATTTGGATGCAGGCCATTATTGACATATTTAAAGCTTTACATTGTCTTCTTGTCTCGCTTGCGTGGAAGTGGAATCGTGGGTGGCGCCAGGCTGTTATCTTTTACCTATACATAAAATATATCAGTAATACTGAATGTTTTTTAGAGCGTGGACTGCATAGAATTTGATTTATTTTACGGAAATGCGGCCTGGCTAGCCGGTAAGGATCTTCGCTGAGTTTTTTGCTGCTAATAATTCACAAAAGGTACCTTTTGCCGTATGGAGGGGGTGGGTTAGGAGTCATGACCTTGAGATCGAAAAGTCTTAGGATCGAATCCCAGCGCTGGCAGGAATTTTAATTTAATTAAAAATATTAAATATTAATTCTAATGCATAGGTAGGATTCCCCACTCGACCATTCACTGATGGGTTCTAATTAACTATGCTATTCCTAAAGTTGGCGCTGGGAAACAGTAACAAAGCCTACACAGAACACACATGATTAAGAATTCAAACACAAACAGAGACTGGCATATTAGGTACATATACCTAGGCCTTAAATCGAAAAAAAAAAAAACTGCGACGTTATTGATAGAACTGTTCAAAAAGTACCTTTTGCCATATTATGCCAATCTGCCTATTCTTGGGCGCGACATAAGTTTCATAAAATGAAACGAAATATTATTATAACGGAAGATAGTGAATTCCGAGTAAATATTCCACTTATTGCGAGAATATTAGGAAATTAAGTCGGCGAGGTAAGGCTGCGATAACGCTGGTCTTGTTTTGCTTACGTAACTTCAGAACTCACAAAACGGTATTCCGTACAATTTTGAAAAATTAATTATTACTTCGGCTTTAAGACGTTCTGTAGTTGAAACCAGACTGCGACAATACTGGACTGGACTAATTTCTCTCGAACTATACCAAATAATTTCTTGCTAATATTTGACTGATGGCAGTAGATCATGAGAATTATTATTTGAGAGTATTATTTCGACACTAGAAACATAGCACTGGCAAGAGCATCGAAAAATAAAGAGCAGCAGAAAGAGAAAAAACTCGGGGAGCCTGGTTTTATACATTACGCTCGGACTAGTTCTGTTTTCGAGTGGTTCGAACTGGGAGTAGCCAATATTTACGAATCAGAGAACTGAAAACATGTCCTTTTGACATTTGCGAAAATGACCAGATAATTTACCTGAATTTGAACATTTAAAGCTGTATTCGAATTTCAGTAAATAATTATATATTTTGAACTATGGGGTTCTCGCAAATGTTTAATAACGGGAATTTTAACATTTAACATTTCTATAGTTAACTAAATGAAAATGTAGTGACTTCGTCACTCGTCACTACTTTGAAGTTAGCATTGGCAATACCTACTTCACAAGTAATACGAACTAAATTTTATTACGATTTTACCTTGATCACATAAACAGGTTTTTATATTATCATTAAAAATCAAGACACAGCATTCATATACACTTTTCAGTTTATTTTGTATGCAAACATATTTGTTTTAGAACTGAGCGAAGGTCTTGACAGATGCCAAAAATCGTTGAACGATTATTTAGATTCGAAAAGACGGAGATTTCCCAGGTTTTACTTCATTTCCACCGATGAACTGTTGTCAATTTTGGGCAGTAGCGATCATAATTGTGTTCAGGAACATATGATCAAAATGTTTGATAACGTCAAAGCTCTACGGTAAAGTATTGTTAAGCTTATTATTCACAGATCGCATAAACACTAGATAGGGTAGCTGTTAAAGATGGAACCAAACCTATAGTGCTTAAACGGTTCAACATAAAAAATACAAAATTTCAGAATTTCAACTAAATATATTTGCACATATTTTAGCCCGAAAATGATTTTTTTTATAATTACAACATTTTAAGCATGTCCGCCATCTTGATTTTTTTAAATAGCAACATAGGTCATGTGATATACCATTTGAAAGGGTTAAACACCCTGATTACAAAAATCTATCACACATGGGGTCTAAACACAACAGAAAGGATATTATTAATAGGGAGCGTAGAAGGCTGTGCATTTGACAGAAGACGTCAATATAACAATAACATTTATTGTTGATACGACCCCATGTGTGATACATTTTTGTAATCAGGGTGTTAAACCCTTTCAAATGATTTACCACATGACCTATGTTGCTATTTAAAAAATCAAGATGGCGGTATGGTTAAAATTTTGTAATTATAAAAAAAATAATTTTTGGGCTAAAATATGCGCAAATATATTTAGTTGAAATTCTGAAATTTTGGGTTTTGTATGTTGAATCGTTTAAGCACTATAGGTTTGGTTCCATCTTTAACAGCTACCCTGTATAACCTGTACTGCAGCAAATGTTTTGTTCCGTTATCTCGAGGATATTTCGGGTATTGTTGTTTTTTCTCATTTTAAACATAGGCGGATATGGTAAAAATAAGAATAAGCAAAAAATGTATTAAAGAAAATTGTTGAATAGAATAATGAAGTTCATTAAATTTTAATTAAAAAAAAAAAATACAATTGGAAATGTGTAAGTAATAATAATTAAAAAACCAATACACTACTCACTATCATTTAGAAAGGGTATAAAGCTTAAATTCATATAATTTTTGTTTAAAAGTTATTGTTTTTTTGTATAATTATTACATTTCTAAAACTAATTTTTCAGTTTAGAGGTTTCTTTAATAAATTTATTTAAAATTGACTTTGAAAAAATTGTTTGTTTCCAGGCTGTTATATTGTGGTCTTTCTTGTACCCTTCTCGACGTATCAACTGAAACTGAATTCTCCTTCGCTCCAAGTGTTGTATTTATTTGCGTATTTGTGTGCTCTTTTTTGGCGTGACTGATATTAGGCGGTTTTATTTTCGCGCTCTTTAATAATGTGTGAGTTTTTAAGAAATGTTGTTTCTTCTTCCTTTCTATTGAAGTTCTTTTGATTTTTGTGTATTTATATACTTTCCAAGGGCAATTTGGGGTCCAGTAATGTCTTAATGATGCTAGTAGGTCAGTGTTTTCGAAAAGAATTTTATGTTCTCCGTCGGATAATGTGTGATCGGCGACTGCAGACTTATTGGTTTGTTCTACACGACAACTTTGTGTTCTGTTAGTCGTATACCAATGCTTCTCTTTGTTTGTCCTGTGTATAATTTTCCACAAGTGGTCAGAGACACCTTCTACGTACGGTATATAGATAGTTTCTTGTTTTTGTTCTTCACTAGACTTGGTCTTATTCTCTCTTGGGCGTGCGTAGATAGCACGCATTATGTCTTTTTTGCTGTATCCGTTTGCTTGTAACACTGTTGTTGTCAGGTGTTTCATTTCATCGTTGCTTGTCCTAGTTTACATATCCTTAACGCTTTGTTTACTTACACCGCGCTTCTGTTTTGGATTATGGTTGGAACCATATTGTGGGTATCGATCAGTGTGTCTTCTGTATACTTTGTGGCCTAGTTTATTGACTTTTCAGCTAACTAACACATCTAGGAAAGGAATTTGTCCGTTTTTTTTTCAATGGTGAACTGGACTTTGGGATGAAAACTGTTCAGATGGTTTAGATAATTCTAGAGGTATTTTCTCCAAATGTATCATCAATATCTAAGCCAATGCTTTGGTTGTTTTTTTTCCATGTAAAAAATGACCACAACTAGACTAAGAGTGTTGATCTTTCAACACTTTCCTGTATGTGTCTTGATTGACCAAATCATTCAGCTTGCTTCTATAGTCCGATGTGTTCATGACGACTGTTGCATTTCCTTTGTCGGCGGGTAGAATTATGATGTTTTGATCCTCATTGAGACTTCTTATAGCTGCCTTCTTGCAGCTGAAACTTTTGGTAGCAATGACCAAGAAAGACCATGGCATAACAGCCCAAAAATAAACAATTACATTGACGCCGGTCATGAAAGTCTACATTTTTACATTAACTTTAAAGATCTAAACTATGTCAAATATTTAAAGGGAAATAATGTCTTATTGAATATGAAATTAAAATAGTAGTGTTACTAAATATTGGATGACCTAAGTTTTTGATAGACTTTAAGACATTTTTCGGTTTTACAAATATTTATAACCATTTATTAGTGATCCATATTTTTTAAATTAAAGTTTTGACAGATTCTATGAACGTTTCAATATTAACGCTTTAGTCATCATTGTATTTTAAAGGTTTTCGATAGACGCTCAAGATCGCCCCGTATCCATCGCTATGATTTCTGGAGAAGGTGAGGTTATGGAATTTCGTACTTACGTTCTCATCGAGGGTAAAGTAGAAGAATGGATGAACGATATTCTAAAGGAAATGAGAAGGTCAAATAGATATATTACTAAATGCTCCATCTACAATTACGGAAAGGTAAGAAGAGCTAGGGCGGCGTGGATGTTGGATTTTCTGGGAATGGTTGTATTAGCCGGAAGTCAAGTAAGTTTATGAAAATTGTATACGTCTAGTTTTAAGAATAATTATTGAAGTACAATTCATCCAGCGAGTAATTACACATGCACCATTAATATCTGACACCTAGCATAACAAACATAAGTACTCCTTGTGTAGCATAAGTGAAACACAAGTCTAAAGGCAAACTGTAGACACGTGTTTCTGACTATTGGTCTTCATCAGTACGATGTAGCCAAGTTCAAGAGCAAATGGAACTTGCGATAAAATCAAAATAAACAGGTGATCACTCAAGGAGCCAACTACACATTTCTGGCCTCGGCTAACATACTCAGTGCTTACTGGGATATATAAATGGTATTTAATACCTTTCATTTACATATCTGTACTATTTTTTAGGTATGGTGGACGGCGGAAGTGGAGAACGTCTTCGCGTCATTCAAAAAAGGAAACAAGCGTGCCATGAAAGAGTACCTCGGCCAATTGAACAGCCAACTAGATGAAATTGTCTTTACAGTTAGAGCCGAACTGTCATCTAATGACAGAGCAAAATTTAGAACAGTCGCTATCGTGGAAGTACACGCTAGAGATATCATAGAAGGCTTCGTACGAGACAGCGTAACCGATATCACTGAGTTTGAATGGGAGAGTCAGCTGAGGTTCTATTGGGTGAACAATTTGGATAATTTATATGTGACGCAATGTACTGGATCTTTTGAATATGGGTAAGTGTTTGATTAGATTAAAATTGAGATTTTTAGATACTATCCTTTTTTCTTCCCGTCACCAGTCAATGTTCTATTTTTTTAGTTATGAGTATATGGGTCTCAACGGTAGACTAGTAATTACCCCGCTGACAGATAGAATATACCTGACCATAACTCAAGCTTTAATTATGCACATGGGTGGTGCACCTGCAGGTCCTGCAGGTACGGGAAAAACCGAAACCACCAAGGATCTAGCCAAAGCTATGGCGCTACTTTGCGTGGTCACCAATTGCGGTGAAGGTATGGATTTTAAGGCCATTGGTACTACTTTAGCGGGGTTGGCTCAGTGCGGTGCTTGGGGGTGTTTCGATGAGTTTAATAGAATTGATATTTCGGTAAGCAAAATGTTAATTGTAAACCAAAGGTAGGACTCAATACTATTTGTTTAAGTATAGGTACTTTCCGTAATATCCACTCAACTCCAAACTATTCGCAGTGCACTAATGATGAAATTGGAAAAATTTACATTCGAAGGTGTGGAAATTTCTTTGGATTCGAAGGTTGGAATTTTCATCACCATGAATCCAGGTTACGCTGGCAGAACGGAACTACCAGAGTCAGTAAAAGCATTATTTAGGCCCGTAGTGTGCATAGTTCCTGATCTGGAGATGATATGCATGATTTCTCTGTTTTCTGATGGTTTCCTGGAGTCGAAAACTTTAGCTAAGAAGATGACCGTATTGTATAAATTGGCAAGAGAACAGCTTTCCAAACAGGTACTTGGTGTTAAAATTATATTTTTGTCTAACTATAAAAAATATGACATTTTTTCATTGCTAAGGATTCCCAAAATCTCTAATAGGCTAATTTTTAACCGTGTAATTTTTGTTCTTACTGTTGGAGAAAACTATTTTCTACGCTCATGTCAGTAAACGTTAAAAATCGCACTGTCAACATTCTTTGTAAATGACATTTAACAATAACATGCAAGTAATGAGATCTCATAACATTTTGATAAGAAAACTTAAATTTCTTAGTTTAATCAAATTGCAATCAAATTTTCATCTAGACTTTATTTGGTTTATTTACATAAATTTAGTCAATTTAAAAACATAAAAACTTTTAGCATTAGCGAGATAATTTTGGATTAAAAAAGTGATGCCCCTAAATGTCGGCAACACATTATACAATTTTAAAAAACTAAGTCGAGTTTTAGTAGCATGCTATGGAAATAAACGTCGCTTCGTTTATATTGTCAATTTTTGTAACAAAATATTATTGTATTTGAACATTTTCTCAACTTTACCTACGAATATGTCTGTTACTAGTGAAAGTGATATTATGAGCACTCCACCGGAGATTTCAGAAAAAGCTCAAGATGTCACACATAATTTGTTACCGCAAAAATCCAAAGAAAGGTACGAAATCACCTATCGTAAATTTATGGATTGGCGACACAAGCATATGTCCTTTATTTAAGAAGAAAATAAGTGGTGGGCGTAGAAAAAGTATAGTACGTTACACGAGTTGTAAGCCCATTACGCACTCGTGTAATTTACGCACTCGTCGCTGCGCGGCTTCGTGCGTAAACTTTTTCACTTCGTGCGTAATGGGATGGGTTACTTACAACTCTTGTTACGTAATATACTATAACGGTGACTTCATATCAATGATTTTATGTTTTCTCGTACAATAGTTTGGACTTTATCGGTAACATATTTGAAATGGCAGCGTTTGAAACATGTATCATCCCAGTTGGAACTCAATTCGAAACTTGGATATGTTGGAACCTTAAATAAAAGAGACCAGAGATATAACATACGCGCTACAGTGTGATGTCATTTTGGTTCAACTGACATTTAATTCTAACCAAACTTTTAACAAAAACATCAATAAATGTGACATATACGTTTTTATTGTTTTTATTTTATTTCTAAATATTGTTTACAGGTCACAAAAAATAGTTTAAAGGTATGTAATTGGTAACTAAACGATTGTATATTTGATACATGCTATCTACTTACTTTAAGAATATATTTATAAAAGTGAAAAAAAAAAACGATACAATTTAGGTAAACAAAACGAACAAAACGAACTCAAAAAATCTACTGTCACTTTAATTGTCAGTGGAACCATAATTACATCATCACTGAACGCAATACTACATCGAGCCCACAGTTCCGCTATGAGACGTGGAAGAGCCAATAACAGCGCGCGAACGCCAAATTATAGGCGGGGCATAAAAGCGCGCTCGTTTTGAAAGTAACTGGGGAGGTAGCGAGGAAAACGATGAAGGTGTGCCTATGCTGAAACTGAGAAAATCGTTTTTTTTTACTTCCGAGCGTTGTCTCATAGGAAGCGCAAATAATACACAAAATTTATTATAAATATTAATTACACAATTACTAATATTTGACATAACTAAATTAGATGAATAATTACTACACTTTTAAAGGCATTTTTCTAATAAGCTTTCAACGAACAAATTCACCTAAAAATTACCAACAAATGATCATCTTGACAATTCAGACAATTAAAAACAAAAATTTGATGCGGTTATGACAGGAAATTTCCAACAAAACTGCCGGTATTTCTACAAGGTGTAAAGGAAAATACTTTTGTTTTAGAATTTTACTATCATTTATTTTACGAAAAATATTGTATGTAACAGTGTGAAAAGAGTGCTTTTCGCACTAGTTGCATAAATAACTGTTAGGTGTATTATAGAGATCTTAATCGTTTTGCAGCAACTGTTTACCAGGCATATATTATATACAAAAATCTTTAGATGGCACCATCCACCCCGAATTTGATCGTTTTTCCCGCCAACTCCTCAGTTACGATAATTACTTTTTATGCTACAGCTACATTACCTAAACGGTTTTTAAATTTAAATATTTCATTAGGAATTTTAAAAATAAGCAGTTTAATTTAAAAAAATAGTTTATTTAACTAATAACATTTTTTATTTAGTAGGCATTACGCATCTACTTGTATCATATGTATTATTACGTAATCGTTTTAGTTGTCTTGATGATTTTTTCTTAATTTTTCTTCTAGCTACAGCAGTACTTTGTATAGGAATTTTTCGTCCTCTTCGATTTTGGCCACTTCCTAAAAATGATTATAATTCTAGTCAATGAAATAATTTAAGAAAAGCTTTAGAAAATAAAGTTGTGCACATCCTTAAAGAAATCTATACAAATTTAATTTCAATTATTTGTGTTGCCAATTTATAAATTGAATTGGGACACAAAAAATAATTAATTAGTGGTGTATTTTACAAATCTAAATAGGAAGGTTTACATTATAGTATACCTAGTTCATTAAATTGAACTAATACAATTTCAACAATATCTGCTGTCAAGTTAAATTATTTCTAAACATACAAACGATAAATAAAAAAATACATATTATAACCACCAAATAAAATACCAAAACCGAACCAAACCCATTTAATTAAGTTTATAACATACCATAAACATTTCTAGAATGTTTGTTATTGTTTCTCTTTTTTCAGCATTGTACAGTGTAAGATTATTTTCTAAAAACATTTTCGCCTCTGTATCAAATTTCATAGGTCCATAATTTTCTTTAAACTCTTTCATATATAGATCATAACAGTATTTATAGGTTGGACATATATTACGGTCTGCCAAAGCTGTCACATAATCATCCCTGGTAAGCTGAATGTTACATTTAATCATCTCCAAAGCTGTTCCTGCTGTATGGCCATTCTTATAAAGACTTAGTAACTCTTCTCTTACATTCTTAGAAACTTTACGAAACCGTAAAGAATCTGCAGTATTGGTCATATGGTTGTGTGTTAAAATAAGTTTAACCTCACAAGGCGCCTCTTGTAAGAGTTGGAAATTTTCTTTCTTGCCCCTATACTTTTTTCTAATAACATGTATCTTTACAGTTATTTTCGAAGGATAATTGGTGTTTCTAGTTTTGTTTTTTAAGGACGGGTTGTAGGTTTTAGTGCACCGTGTAGAATGATGACACCTAAAATTAAATTTTCCAGGTAACATAATAATAAACTGTAATAAACCTACATGTAACAAATAATATAACCTACATTATAAATAAGAGCATAAACAAATGTGATATTTATTACATTAATTTACTACCTAATTTTTGTAACCTGTAAAATCTGTGTTTTCCAAAGGTTTTATTAATAATAAAACCTTTATTACCTTAGTCTTCTTTTCAGTTTCAATTTAGCTCCATTCTCAACGTCTGTACAGGCGATAACGTATGATGAACTTGTTGAATTTTCAAACTCCATCAACCACTTTCCAAACTCCTCTTCATTGGTGCAATTGATGAAAAAATGCAATTCTACATTCGGGAACTTATCTTCACCCTCTACTATTTTTTTACCAATAATTGTTGTTCCCCAACCAGGTGGAAAAACTGACTGAAAAATAAAGATTTAATTACACAAAAATCCTAGCAGTTTGTACTTTATGTTTATGAACATACATGTAGGTACCAATTTTCTCAGCAAAAATATTTAATTAGTAGTTATACAAAAGAAAACAAATATGAACTTTTACTTGAAAGGCTTAATTTTCGTCTTAGAGAAACAAGGTACAAAAATGTTGTACTTACATTAAATTCATCATTCAAAGAGGGTAGTGGCGCGATATCCATTATTTCGGTAAGCAACTATGGTAAAAGCAAACATCAAAACCACGATTGTACATGGATTGTATGTACACACACTATAACTGTAAATCATGGAGGAAGGATTATTACTGTAAATATTTGGCCGTGAGCAAAACCAAAACAAAAACTGGCACAAACTAACAAACAAAAATGTTAGGTTAAAAAATCTAACTGCTACGTGTTAATTGTCAATCGATCCCGCCCACAGTCGTGACGTATCCCGTTCTAATTGGTTCTTTTTAGTCCCATAACCAAAGTGAGTGCTGGATGTATCATTGCTCACTGAACTAGCGCCTTGTCAATTTCTAAAGAAAGGTTAACGGAGTGGGGGAACTGGGTGGCGACCCCAACTCTGTGACAGGGACGGACTTTGTTTATTAGCATCATAATGAACTATTAGATTTACTTGAAAGATGTTTAATGGAATTTGGTATTATGAAATAAAATTAACGTAATTTTTTAATATCAAACAGATGCTACGACAGTTTATGTAAAGAGAAGATCTCTAATAGAATATTTCGTTAGCGTTTATTTACTACGGACTTTTCTACAAGAGACTACAGTAAAATGTTGAAATAGAATATTGTTGATCGAAATGATCGAAATGAGTATTATAAAAAAAGCAAGTGCACAGGCGAATACTGTAAATCAAACCTTGTGAGTTGAACATTATATTTTTTCTACGGCTATTACATAATATTAAAAATAAGTCAAAATGAGAAAATGCTGTTTTGTATTGTAACCTCACAAAAAGGTGTATTAAAGCTTCTTTCTTTAGGAATATTACTTAATATAGAGGGTGAGTCACATAAAACTATAGAAATACATGTCTGAAACCAGATAACATTTTAAAAATAAAACCTATGACTTTTAATAGGTTTAATTTGGTCGCTAGGGGTGGGTGATTATCGAAAAAAAATACCGATTCTTTTTGATCAATCGATTATTTTCAAATAATTTTTCGATAATTCGATAATCATTAAAAAATCGAAAATAATCGATTAATCAATAATAATCGATTAACTAATAAGTCGATTAACCGATATATCGATTTTTCAAAAAAATCGAATAATCGATTTTAATTAATAATCGTTTAAATAATCTATTTTTCGTATTTCCTTAAAAAACGATTATTCGATTATCTTTGAAATATCTAAAATAATTGATTATTCGAAAATAATCGATTATTCGAAAGTAATCGATTATTCGAAAATAATCTATTATTTTAAAATAATCGCTTAATCGAAAATAATCGATTGCCTAATCGAAAATAACCAATTAATTTAGAAGCCGATTCTACGATAAATCTATTTTCCAAAAAAAAAACCGAATTATCGATTATTTTCAAATAATCCTTTTTTATATTTCCTTTAAAATTGATTATTCGATTATCTTTGAAAAATCAAAAATAATCGAATAATAAAAAGCTGATTAACCGATAAATCGATAATTCTAAAAAAATAACTGAAATATCGATTATATAAAACAACCGATTATATTCGATCAATCGATTATTTTCATATAATCTATTTTTTCGTATTTCCTTCAAAACAAATTATTCGAATAACTTTAAAAATCTAAAATAACCAATTAATCGAAAATAATCGATTAATCGAAAATATTCGGTTAATGAAAATAATCGATTAATTAAAAAAGCCGATTAAACGATAAATCGATTTTTCTAAAAAATTCAATTATTTTTAATCAATCGATTATTTAGAATAATACTACTTTCTTTTTGTATTTTCTTTAAAATCGATTATTCCAATATTTTAAAAATCGAAAATAATTTACTGAAAATGTTCGACTAATCGAAAATAATCGATTAATTACAACGGATAAATCGATTTTCATCGATTATTTCTGTAATTCCTGTCGGTCGCTTGCTTTTATCCGAGCATTTAGCTCCAAAATTTAGAAATTCGAATTTTTGATCTCGTTATCTTTAAAACCTCATTCGATTGTATAATAAATATTGCTATTCGAGTTGTTTAGGGGTTCATAGTGTAACATTTTATCAACAATGTAACTAAGTCCCGTATTTAGTATTTTGTTTTTTTGCCTATACTTGATCATATTGTGCGTTTTACTTTGTACTGAAGATTCAAATGTCACTTCCGATTTGACCGCAAATAAGATGAACCTTGAAATTTTAAGTAGGTCATCCTGTATGTAATCTAATATTATAAAAATAAAATAGCAACTATGCTTCTTTACTTCTTATTTATCTATCAAAAAGGGCTAAAAACCACCTTTAGTAAATATTCTTATAAAACTACTTTTTAAAAGCAAAATTTCGTTAGCGACAATGCCTATTTACTTCTTATTTAAATTAAATGTTCAAAATTTTGCCCTTTTGTAAATTTATGTATTATGAAGTCTGTTTTCTTAAATATGTATTTGATGCTTAATATTTATTAAAACTCCTTAATGCGGATCTGAAATATTTAGCCCAAAGAATTAGGGCGGCTTTATGTAAAACGTTAATAAATATTTACAGCTGAAAACGAATATATTTCTTGTTTTTCATAACATTGGCACTTATATTATTTCTATATACAATTTTTCAGGATACATCGTAGCATTTTCAATTTGAAATTGAATAACTAAAACACTTTAAATTGCTAGTAACACCAACAAATCATTCAAAGAATGGCGGTCCATGATGATTCAACTCACGCGGAGATGAGTGTAGAATGGAAATGTCGGAGCAATTCGGGGCGTCGCGTCGTGGACACAATGATTTTTAATTGGTGGGTTACTTAAGGTTGGAATAGACAACATTCACTATGTGCAATGCTACATCTCCGGTCTCTTTAATCTAAGGTTGGAACACATGTTTGTGTTATCAGACACTCTGGCAATAACGTCAAATTCAAGACAAATTTAACAAATATTAAATTTTGAATTTGGGAAATAAAAAATTATAAAACTCATTTATAAATTTTGATTATTGACGGTCTAGATAAACATATTTAGTTTCCCAAAGATCTGACGATAATTTTAAAATATTTTTGTCGATTCAGTAGCAACAATTGCTAGATATTTAGGTAATGATACCATATTTCCCATTTCGAAGCTCAAGAAAAAAGGTCAGTTAATATAATTACGAGGGTTGCGATTAACCAGTTTCAAATCCTTTCCAGCAATTCAAGACTGCATTATTTTGCAATTCTTGATCACGCAATCTCTTCTGTAAATGAAAAATGTACCTTATTATCTGAGTGCTATTTAATATTCTACATGAAAGCCTGCATGTACAGGAGGGAAGTATTCTGAAATATATAGACTCTAATGATATTTTTCTCGATAAAAAACCGCCAATTGAGAAATTATGTCAAAAATGATCTCATTAAAATTACATAAAACCCAAAAAATAAAAAATAAAAAATCACAAAAATATCACAAAAATATCACAAAAATATCACAAAAATATCACAAAAATATCACAAAAATATCACAAAAATATCACAAAAATATCACAAAAATATCACAAAAATATCACAAAAATATCACAAAAATATCACAAAAAATATCAAAAAATATCAAAAAATATCAAAAAATATCATAAAAAAAATATATATAAAAATATCAAAAAAATATCATAAAAAATATCACAAAAATATCACAAAAATATCACAAAAATATCACAAAAATATCACAAAAATATCATAAAAAATATCACAAAAATATCACAAAAATATCACAAAAATATCACAAAAATATCACAAAAATATCACAAAAATATCACAAAAATATCACAAAAATATCACATAAATATCACATAAATATCACATAAATATCACAAAAATATCACAAAAATATCACAAAATATCACAAAATATCACAAAAATATCACAAACATAAAAAAAATATATATCACAAAAATATCACAAAAATATCACAAAAATATCACAAAAATATAACAAAAATATCACAAAAATATCACAAACAAAAAAAAATCACAAAAATATCATTTAAAAAACACAGCTCACAAAAACGCATAAAAAATGCAAAAATAACGAAAGAAGGTAAAATAAAAAAAAGCTTACTCTTAACGCTATCAATAAAATGGATCAAAAGTTCTAGGTTGCCAAACTAAGAGTAGTAGAAGATGAGTGCCGATTCTGTGAGGAGGAGGAGGACGAAACCTCCATTCACATTCTAACTGAATATGTAGCACTCCAGAATCCAAGGACACTATACTTAGGAGCTGACCAAATAGTCCAATGGACGTCCACTTTAGATTCATTTGAGGGCCAGAACGTCCATATTCGTATTCCTACATCCAGTGTACGTCCGATTATGATCATTAATTTGACAGCTACATATCGATGCCCAGAGGACGTCTGTTTTTAGATTTATTTTTAAGTTTAGTAATATTTTGACGTCCAGTGGACGTCCATCTTAGGTCATTATTTATTTAGCCTACCAGATAATACCCATCTATATATATTTTTATATTTTTTATAAAATTGGTCATTACAAATTGACAAATTAAATCTATTATATTTCATTCTATCAGCGGAAGTTTGAAATCTTATTCTATTATAACCGTATCTAGTAAGAATTTTTCAAGTGGCTCCTTGATCGAGGTCACCTAGCACTTGAATGCCGAGAAAGACAAAGGACGTGTCGAGAGTTCGATGCCTGCTCTGGTCAAGTGATTTTTAATAAATGGTGTATAGCGGGTTGCGAAAATAATAAATAAATTATTAATAATATAAAATAGTGTGTGGTGAGTTGCGGTTGTGTAAAAAAAGTAGGGATGTAGTCTCAATGGAATATAATCCAGGAATGGACGTTTCTTGAATGTCCAGTATTAAACGTCCAAATATAATCCAGAATTGGACGTCCTATGAATGGTCAAAAGTATGCCATTTGTATACTTCACTTGACGTCCATTGGACGTCGGAAGTCCAGAAAAAACTCATCTTTGGACGTCCAGACATCCAAAATTGTATATCGAATGGACGTCCGATGGACTTATTTGTGCTGTCTGGGTAACTTAAAGCCACTTCCTTGAGAAGTTATGATTGGAAGGGTCGTTATAGGCACCAAAAACTATGTCCTTGCTGAATTAACCACAGAAGGCGACACAATAGATCTTTTAGGTCGCAGTGTATTAATACCCCATTCCCAACTTAACATACCATCATTAAAAGTTTTAAACAATATATTTCGAGAAAAGAGATCTGACATGTGAGATTCATCTCGTCACGATTTTTTGTGGAAAATGTAAAAAAAGGGTATCTATTCCTTACATTATCTTTGGTTCTAAGTAAGTAACAATCAAAAGCCTATGTAATAGGTTGGTTCTTCGATAGCATTCATAATATAATTAAAGACCAAAATAAGACAAGTTATTTGAAACCTTTCATATGGTACGATGACTAATTAATTTATATAATACTTAGACACTGTTACAACTCACAATTCTAATTTATTTATTACAATTTATCTTTTCTGCCAACACTTAAATTGAAACTTCCCCTCCATCGACAAACTCGCAACTGTATTATATTTTTAGTTTCACTACGATTGGGGTCTCAGAGCACTCAACGCAGTACTGCGTATGGCTGGTGTATTAAAAAGAGCTTCACCAGATATAAAGGAATCACTGGTACTCATGAGAGCACTTCGAGATATGAATCATCCAAAATTCGTATTCGAAGATGTCCCACTGTTCTTGGGACTAATTAAGGATCTTTTTCCGGGGATGGACTGTCCCAGGGTGGGATATCCTGATTTTAATGCTGCAGTAGAATTTGTAAGTAAGATTATAGATAAGATACCAATGACAACAGAAAAAGTTAATAGCTTGATAAATATAGATACTTTTTATGTTCTTTTTGTAGATTTTAAAAGAAGAAAAGTTCATTGTCCTCTCTTACCAAGTGGACAAAGTAGTACAATTATATGAAACCATGATGACCAGACATTCCTCAATGATTGTGGGACCTACTGGTGGTGGTAAAACTGTGGTTTTGACAACACTTTGCAAAGCTCAAACTCACATGGGTTTAATAACTAGGGTTCAAGCTATGAACCCAAAAGCCTGCTCCGTTATAGAATTGTATGGCATTTTAGATCCTGTCAGCAGAGACTGGACGGATGGATTGCTGTCCAATATCTTTAGGGAAATGAATAGACCTACTGAGAAAAACGAGAGAAGGTAAACCATTTTAGGTTGATGACGAATATAAGTTTGAATTTTAGTAGTAACATGAGTACTGTTTTAGAAGCTTCTACTTGCAAGAAATATGCTATGCTTTCTCATTTACAGAGTCTAAAAAATAATTTCGGAATATGATTACAATACATTCAAGCAACTATTAAAATTTGTATTCATTTATGCATTATGATTATTTTTTTAGATATATTCTATTTGATGGAGACGTTGATGCCCTCTGGATTGAAAATATGAATTCGGTCATGGATGATAATAGGCTATTAACGCTTGCAAATGGCGAGCGTATTCGTCTTAATACTCCTGTAGTAAATTTGCTTTTTGAAGTTGGTGATTTAATGGTATGTTTAGTTAAGTTGTTTGTTATAAAATAGACTTTGTTATATGGATGGACAAAAGCATAGGTCATCTTTGATCGATACTGGGGTATAGAGGGTATTTAAAAAGAAAATCAGGTTGTTGAAAGAAGATGTCAGTGGGAGATTGAAAGAGAATTGGATATTATCAGTGGGGAAAGTTTAAAAAAGTAGACATTGAAAGCCAGTTGTATAAAGGATTGAAGTTGTATGAAATAAAGTTTGCTAAAAATAAGGGACGAGTCTAAAATGTTGAAAAGGAGTTAAGGATGAAAGATCAGAAAGGAAGTATTTGTGGAAAGGAACAGAGGAAGCAGAGTGTAGCAATAAGGTTAGGGGAGAGGTGTAGAGATAGTTAAGAGTTAAGAAGGACGAGAAGACAAATAAAGAAGAATTTTGTTTTTATTATGACTTCTCTCAATTATGACCGTTTCAAGTTTATCATAGTGAATGTGACAAAACAGGATTTTTTTTGTTGAAGACCGTCTGTTCTTTTGCTAGTGGGTTCTGACATACATTATCTCCCCCACGCTTGTCATGGTAACGACTAACCAAAAACTCAAATCATGTGGCGAAGAAAGGCATAGTTGTCAAGTTATAGATCCGCATTTATAAACAGAACTTAGCTGAGTCGGACTTGCGTAAGTCGTCCTTGAACTAAAATCGAAATTCGGTTACAACGTCTCTAAAGTTCCAGGTGGTTCCGGTGTTACACTGGAATTTAGAGATGGATATTAGAAAATCTGTAACTGTTAAGTACATTTACGGATTTGTTATTACCCATATCTAAATTCACGCGATATAACCCCCCCAGGTCCGCACTGGAAAATTTGTTGGAGTATTGAACTCACTCTATTTTTTTTATGTTTGACTTTTTAAATAGAGCAATTAGAAGATATATTCCTTGAGATATCCATTGGATAGTCAAAAAAAAAAAATTGAAAATTTATACACCGAAGCACAAGCCGAAACAATTACAACACATAAACAACTTTGTGCCGAATCTTTTGTTTGGGTTTTTATTTTCACGGACCTATGATGCCTGGGCGCTTTCGAGCACGTGCATTATCATAGATATATTGGTCGGCCATCGACAATTACTTTTCTCTTTTCAACTACAAGGCGGGCGCATATGCTGTTATATCTGTCTAATTGCAATGCATTTTTCCTTGTCGATTCCCTTATAACCCATAAGGTCAATTTAAAATACGGCCAGGTTAGGCTAATCGCGCTGCGGATAAGAATTGATTGTTATTAGACATTAGTAATTTTGTCTCCATTGGTAATAATTTGGGAATTTTTGCATGAACATGTAATTGTACTTTTTTAAAGAGTTTATCAATAATAATAATAATCGAATTAAATTACGGGTTTTGAACTTACATTAAATTGTAATTAGATGGAACAAAATGGATTCTATGTATTTTGAGGTGATCTTTTCGAAAAAAGGCAAAACAAAATGTAGCTGTTTTTCGAAAGTACCGAAATTTTGGATTTTATCAATTTTTCAATTTTGCGCATGCGCATGTCGGAAATAAATCAATATTTTTAAAACGCAGTTTACGACATTTGAAAGCTCAGGAAAAATGCTAATTTTCATGTCTCTTGAGAAATATCACATCAAAATACATAAGGTCCACTTTGTTTCATCCAATTACAAATTAGTGTAAGCTCGAAGGGGCTTTTTTTCGTTATTTAATTGGACTTTAAATATTTAATATTGACCAAATGACCTTATAAAGAAGCCGCGCCTGGGGATACTTATCATGGTAACGAGTAAACAAAAACCTAAATTCTGTGGTGAGGAAATGCGTTGTTGCCAAATTATAGATGATTTATTTTAACTACTATAGTTTAGCTGAAATCAGTTACGGAAAAACTGTTGCCATAGGGACAGTTGTCAAGATAACGACTGGTAAGCAAATTGGTAGTTGCCAACTTACGATAGCGATACTTATCATGGTAACAACTAAACAAAAACTCAAATCTCAAAATGAAAAAACGCATAGTTGCCAATAATAAAATCTAACTTTAGTTTAGCTAAAAGGCATTTTTGATGCAAGCCACCTACTAGCTTGCATTAGAAATACCTTCTACCTATTACTTTAATTTTATATTGAGTTTATATTGTACTAAGTAATTAAAAAGGTTATAATATTAGAAGTAAGACAACACAGTTTTATAATTCAATGTTTACAATTTTAAACAGGGAATTATTTGGCGATAACTATTACGTTTTTAGATCTAATCGCAAATTTAATAAAACTAATTTGAGTAGAGGTGGAGGTGTGCTTGTAGCCGTTAACATCATTTGTTCAAATCAAGTAGATCTCAGCTCTTATTACTTGTTTACCAATTTACCTGCATTTATAGATATTCTAGCTGTTAAATTAGTTCAGTAATAAATTCAGTAATTACAAGCTTAAATACATTCTGTTCACATGTAAGTTATGCTGTTTTATAAATTATATTGTAATAATTAGTCGCTATACAAGTTATTCTAAATAATCAGTTTGTTAAAAAAGCCAAAAGTTTTTAAATTAAAACCAATTTAAATTTAAAATTTGAAATGTGTACGTCATCGGGAATAGACCAATAAGCTTGTGTCGAAGTTTTTTTTGGTATACATAACCAAGCCAACGAACAAACCGACACACAGAATGTCGAAGTGAACGCACATCTTATCGACACTTAAAATTGACACCACCTAGACCACCTAACCTAACATTCGTTGTTGTTTTTTTCTCAATTCTCAATTTATTTCTTTTGTCTTTGCTAATTGATTTAATTTTATTATTAATATGAGTTTGTCAACTGGATATATAAAAGCTGATTCAAGTGTTTTACCCATTGTAAACCAAGATATGATTACTGCATTTTTTTATAAGTGCAAAAGTTAAGCATGTTAAGACAGAAAGGCATGTAACACTTTATTTATAATTTGTTTTAATAGTAGTTACAGTTTTTATGGAGCAATACACCTTATAGTAAAAACATATTTATCTCAGGTCATTAGGGTTGTCGAACAGTAACAGTTTTTCAAAAATAAACATTTTACCTTTACCCTTTACCTCATTTATATTATTCAGGTACTTTTATTTTTTAATAATAGGTTACTAAATAAAATTTTCACAGATTTTACATTTTTGTTTATATACAAATATTATAATCTCTAAAATGTGATAAATTATTAAAAAAAAAAAACAATTAAACAGTTTATTAAATTATTAGGTATTTAGTCTTACAAAATGAGTTCTTTTAAGTTAACAATACCACTAATTAACACAGAAATGTAAAAGGTTTATGTAAGCTCCACTTTCTTTCTTATGAATATCATTGAGGATTTTAAAAACACTTGGGCAATCCTAAATATACCTTCGGTTTATTTTCAATTATTTTGAGAAGTTCATTGGTTTTGAAGATCTTGCTCATTATTATTAAGTCCCTCTGAATCATATATTAAAGCTTTCTTCTGATTCAGACAAAACTTCACTATCTTTAAAACTTTCAGAAGGTGTTTTAGGATATACACATTCGAACTTATAGTAGGCTCATTTTCAATTTCCCGGAGGGGGAAGGGGGCAATGTCAGAAATTGCTGCTGCATCTTGAAGATCCGGTGTATTTTTATTAAATAGAGATGAAAAACGCCTCTAATAGAAGGTTAATTTCCAGTCAACTTTTTAGAAGACATTTTTTTGTTTTGTTTTTCTGTTTTTGGTGGAATCAGTGAGCTCTAGCTCTTGTGCGATGAATAACAAGAACTGTGGAGACATTTGTGTGGTACTGCTCACTTATATGTAAAGGTTCATCCATCATTTAAAAAATGAACAGTTTTCAAAATCATCTGGTATCTAAAAAAAAAGAGAAAAACATCGTTACTACAATGGTAGATAATTGAAGTCTAATAAATTACAATAAAACATTTTCATTTTAATAGAGTATAGATACAAACCTCAAAATAATTTAGCTGTTGCTTGAAGCGTTCCTGTGTAATAATAATAATTTTCATATTTCTAGCAACACTAATAAATATTTTTAATAATGAATGTAAAATGTAAATCATTATCACATCTTGGGAGGAAACATTTTTTTCGTACTCATAATATTTATAAAAACATCAAATAATTATCGATTGAAAAAATCTTAATTGACAGATGACACATGCAGTGTTGTCGCATTGCCATTTTCTTGTTTATTAGTTGTCGTTTTTTAAAACAATGAAACTATAAATATGGTGAAAGTTTAAAGTTAAATAATACTTTTTTTAAAAGATATTTGTTTAAAGGTATTTTAGAAGTTTTAAAGTAAGGTGGTGCAAACAAACGAACGTATATAATACTTTTCGTATACCGTCTAATAACTGGCAACGTTGTGTGGTTAGTTCCTATTGGTCTATTCCCGGTGATTAAATAATTAACTCAGGCAAATGAATAGATAAAAAATTTTAATGTAGCTATATTTTGAACTGTATTTTTCATAAAAAAATTTCAATATTTTTAAACATGCCAGAAGATAGTCATCATTCGGCTCTTGAAATATCATGCAAATTCAACGAAAAAGTTTGTTCCAAACGGAATCATTCAGTTTCATTTGAAAAATGTTATAACTTCTCTAAAGTAAATTACGTTATACTGTATGATATGATTAGCAAAATTAACTGGGAATTTTTGGAAGTATTTAATGATGACGCTTGCTCCTATTTTTACAAAAAACTATACACCGTTTTTGATCGCTGTGTCCCCAAATACACTATTAAAACTAACAGTATGTTTTCTTAAACGGTTTTAATTCTGTAAAATACTTTAAAACGTATGGGGTGGATCTGTCCTTGGCCCTTTGCATTGATGTAAATTGTCTTTTATAAGCGGATATTTGGAAAATTTTCAGTTCATTTTCTTCCAATGCTGACTGTGAACGTATGCATAATAACATAAAAGTAGTCGAAAATTGGTGTCGCTTAAACTTCCTACCTTTAAATGCATAAGAATGTTTTATAATGTCATTTTCATTAAAACCGGAGATAAACAAGTCATATGTACAAAGACCAGAACATTTTGTCGATCTTGATGCAACTTTTGATCTAAAGCTCTCATTTATATTACACTTTGAAAAAATTGTACCTGCTGAATCAAAAATGTATGGGTATGTGTTACGTCTTAGTAGGGAGTTTTCAGATACAGAAACTCTAAAAATGCTGTACGCTTCAATAACTTGGAATCCCCATTACCAAACTCATCGGGACAAGTTAGAATCAGTGCAGCGGCGATTCTTAAAATTAATTTGCTTCAAACATGATGGTGTTTATCCACAAATAGGTATACTTCATCAATATCTGCTTAACAGACATAACTTTATTGATCTTGAGACAAGGCGAAATTGTCATCTAATCATTTTCATACACAAATTAGTACCTACATAACAAAATCCATTGTGAACAATTATTAGAAAACTTGTTTTTAACGTTCCGAGAACTACTACATGGTCGCAGTCTACTTTCTATCTCCCATCAGCAAGAGCTAATGTTTTAAAATCATCACCACTACATAATATGTGTACATTATGTAACTTAGTAATACCATAGATATATTTAATTGTAGTATATATAGCATTAAGTCTGAAGTTTTTAAGTCCATATAATGTTTATCTATTCTTGTTTTCGTAATTATTTTTGTCAGAATTCCCTGCTCTGTAATTGGAATTGCCTGTTGAGCAGTGTACCAATAAATAAAATTAAATTAAATAGAAACTGTTTAAGGTAAATTCCAAAATATTTTTAAATTACAGCTCCAATAGATATTTATCTTTCTGAATAAAAGTAATTTTTAAAAAACATGTCATAGTTTGGACCGACGTGTATAATGTAACTGGAATAATAATATTTATGATTGTATTATTATGTTTGTCCATTCGAGGTCTTTCGAGGGCATACGTGGCGGATAAAATATTTGACTGCATCATGTGATATACCCGGATATTAAAATTGATTTTTTATTACTATAAAGTAATAATTACTATTAGTTGCCTGTAAAAAGCACTGCAATAACAGAAAATGAGTACTGGCCTATCGTGCAATAAGTTACATTTAAAATGATATAACTCGGAATGGACAAGTAACCCAGACGAGTCGTAATGAAAAGAAAAGATCTTTCAATTGGTAAATAACTTATCCTTATTGGGGTTGGGGCAATTTCTCATATATTTCTGCCCTATGCCCAATTTGTGCGTGTTGATAAAATTTAATTTCAAAACTCACTGACCACTGATTATGTGGCGACGATTTTATTTATTTGTCAAAATTAAAGTCAGTGAATATTTGTCAAATTAACGTCATACTATTTTGTCCGTTTACATTTGAATCAATTATTGTAATGAAAATGGCTTATATCTACAACCACTACAGTAATTCGTATATTATCTATGTATCGTTTTGTTACGTAATGAAATCCCAAAACTGTTACGTAATTATATATATTACATAACAATTGTATTTATCAAACTATCCATATTACTCCGTTGCTAGGTGATAGCCATGGTTACGATAAATAGTTCTGACATTTCAGAAATAGGAACATCGCCATTATTGTAGTTACAAAATTATTTTTTCATTTTACTATATTCAACTCCTAATGTGTTTGTGGGTGGAGAAAGTACAATTCTGTTACTATTGGTTCTTCGATTCGTATCAAATTTTCATTCCAACCTTTTTACAGAATATACAATTATATTTTCTTTAATAAATTAATGCTTTTTAGTATGCTTCGCCTGCAACTGTTTCCAGGGCCGGTATGGTGTACGTAGACCCTAAAAATTTAGGTTTCATGCCCTTCTGGGAAAAATGGGTAAACTCAAGACAAAATCCAATTGAAAGACAAGCTTTCATTGATTTATTTGAAAAATTTATGCCAGACCTCTTAGCATACATTTTAGAAGGAACTCTTGGGCAAAAACAGGTAAGCATATTTTTCATTTATAGATCAACAATTTTAGATTAAAAATACTTAATTCGAATACTGGAACATCATTGACACAATAATTAACAAAGAACTGGTCCAATTTTTTTTTTAATAAAACCACTTAGTCCTGGAGTTAACGTGCAGATTTGTGACTCATCTTCTTATGGCTGAATTTTTTATTAAAGTGTATTATGCATAGAAATAGTATAGAAAGTCAATTCCATACATCAGAGGTAAAACCATAAGGACCAAATAGTGTGTCGGAGGGCATGCGCATAACGATGCCGGCTTGGAGAGGACCAGTTCAAATTTTATATTGTTTGAATACATAAGGTTAACAGTTATATATTTTTAGAGTTATTTCTATATAAAAACAGTTCAAGTAAAGCTGGTTCTGAAAGTCCTTGTTAAGGGCGGCGTTTGGCCATATCGCGAAAACTGTTTGTCTGGACAATTTCGTCAATTTTTTTCAAAAAATCGTTTTTTAACTCTCTAACGTTCCGCTACGTCACGTAATATATCACATGCAATAATTGTGTTTTCATAAAAAAATCAATATAATTTTAAACCTACCTTTCAAGAAAACTAAACAATATTTTGAAGTGTGATGTGTTTCATTATTTTCCTGTGCTAGTTGTAAGATAAATAAAATATGTAAATATGTTTATGTAAAGAAAATTCCTAGGAAAGTCAATGATTACATGTGGTTTAGATACCTTTTCGAGTACCTACTTTAAAACAACTCCGTTTCTTAAGACGTAAATATCTGTTATAAGTTCAGGCAAATAAAAGAAAGTGAGAAAATTTAATATATTTAATAAAAAAAGAATGCAATTACACATTAAATTAATAATTAACGGCTATTGAAAAGATGGATGAAAAATTGACTATTGAAAAATTGAATGAAATTGAATGTTGATATTTAAATTTTTTCTTTGTTTCGGTCATGTGGCATTATATAGAGGTACTTCCCTGTTAAATCGTCTCCTGGGTAGATAAAGTCTGACCGATACTTTGAAGGTACTTGGAGCTAATTGGAACTATGTCGAGACTAGGAGATATGTTCAGACTTGGTGTTACATGGAGCTGCTTCGGAGCTACTTGGAGCTATTTCGAAACTACTTCGAAACTTGGAGCTGGGAGACTACTTGAGGCTACTTCGACATTACTTAGAGCTTGTTTGAAGACTAGAAAGTTTAGTGAAGCTACGTTACTTGCAGCTTATTCGAAATGACTCGGAACTCACTTGGAGATCGGAACTTCGAGCTTGAAGCTTAGAGCTTGGAACTCGGACTTGAAGCTTGGAGCTTGGTACTTGGAACTTGTAATACACCTTCACACGATGAAACAGAAAGATGGGGTTTCTGTTATTTCAAAAATATTTTAAAATTTTTTTAATTTGTTTGTAATCGTCCCTACGTTTTATTAATTTATGACTGCACCCGAAGATGGAAAAGTTTTCCGAAACATATGTAGTGCTGTGCTAAACAATTGAAATAAAAAAAAGACCGAATAAACCAAGGAAATTTTTATTTATATAAAATTCTGCTACGGTCAAGAAATTATTCTTATTCAGATAATTTATTATTATACTAGAACAAATTTCTAAGATCCTTCATTCGTTCAACAATGATAAATTTTCGATAACTTTAAACCGATTAATTTGTTATTGATATTAGAGTGCATTTTTTATAAAGAGATTTGGTTAATACAAAGAAAATTTTATTTAATAATGTATCAACTAAAAATATTAAATGATATATTTTTTTAATTTTAATGGGTATTATCTGTCTTTGGATTTGTATCAAAAAACGAACTTTTTTTTAAGGTTTCCCCTCTAAAAACCGTAATACCTCAAACCGGCCTAAATCTGATAACCCAGTTTTGCTTTATGGTGGATATCATTTTTCCTCAAAACTATGATTACGTCCCAAAAGAAGATGAGGAAGCAGATATGGATCTCATGACAGCTATATTCTTGATTTGCTTGTATCATTCGTTGGGAGCCCCGTTAGTAGGTCAAGGTAGAATAGATTTTGACGAATATTTGAAATCTCAGAATTCCCTGATGTATCACGACGATACTCCGGAGAGTCCGTGCGATCTAAGGTATAAATATTAAACAGTTCCATTTGAATCAATTAATCTTGTATTATTAAATAACTAAGGTAATTTAACAATGTCGAACGCGTTACTTTCTTATATAAATTTGTCATGACCTATATAAATCTATAAATATAAAATTTTTATAGGCATACCCCACACGCATTTCCTACGTACTACGATTACTACTTAGATATAAAAAAACAGTGTTGGATAGCTTGGGAATGGCTAGTCCCGCCATACATACACGATCCCAAACGAAAATTTTCTGAAATTTTGGTGCCTACTATAGATACAGTTAGGACCACTTTTCTTTTGGATTTGATGAACAAAATACGAAGACCCATCGTTCTTATCGGTGAGACCGGGACATCTAAAACGGCCGTCATACAAGATTTTCTAAGGTAAATATTTAAATTTTAGAAAAAATCTTGCCTTATTAGAGTTTTTAAGAGCAAACATGACGGGCGCTCCTCCGCCAAAAATCAATTTTACATTTGAGGCAGTTAAAAAAAATTGTAAAAAAAAATGGTTCAGGCCAATCGTTGTAAAAATGAACCAAGAATTTCGCTAAACCGCGAAAAACTTATATTTTTAAAGAAAAACAACAAAAATTTCAACTTTTTAACAAATTTAATTTTTTGGCTCTTTACCGGCAAACAGGACCGAAGATTAACATTCCGATACTAATTCTATTAAAACAATGATACCCGTGAATATGGCAACGCTGATAGTCTTTGAAGTCCGTGGTTAAAAGGGTAGCTGCTGTTTAGTTAAATTTGTTAATTCCTGTGTCGAAAAATAGGTAGTTGTTTTTGAAGAGGTGCGAAATTATTGTGATCGTCTTAGTTTGTTGTTGAGGCGTTGTTAGGTTTTTGTTTAATTTAGTTTTTAGTTAATTTATGAAATGAAAAATTCTGGAAGGCAAAAATGCACAGCTGACAAATTTCTATTTTATTTGTTTGCTGCCAGAGTTAGTAAATCCTAGAAAAATACGACATGTGCCAATTAGGGAAAAGAGATTGTCAAGAAATTTGCACGCTTAAAAAAATGTGTAATATACAGGGTGTTTCTAAATACATGCGACAAAATTCAGGAACTGATTGCTCGTATGAAATTAAGATGGGTCTGTCCTATAACAAAATTTCCTCAGACCACCCCTTTTCGAGATATCACCCTTAAAAAGTGGTGACTAAAATTGAGTTTTTATTTTTTTTCTAAAATTTCAGTAAAGCTAGAAACTTGAAATTCTGTAATCGCAAAGGACTAACCACGGGTATTTTTTCAATATTTCTGTTACATTATAGGGGGGTGAAATTAGCAACACTTACTTTATTTCAAAACTTTTTTTCGAGATGAACTTTTATGAAATTGAGTGGAAAACAGTGTAACGGGCTTGTAACTATCGTATCGTACACTCTGTCATTATTCGTTTCTTGCAATAATTTACACCAGTTTACACCAGAAGATAGCACTTAACGAAGCGTTTTAGCCACTAATTTTGGCGAATTTTAAGAAATCATTAACAAGACATTAAGGGCTTAAATTTGGGGATTATATTAAGAATAGTGCTGTCGAGGAATGCATTTATTTTCATTATGATATTTCAAAATTAAAGCCCTTTTAGTTTTTTTGGGAAACTGGAAGGAATTAAAACATTAAAATATATGCATATTATAGATATTATTGCCTAATTTATTTTGCCAAAATTTAAATATTTTGAGATATTCTTGTCCGAAAATTATAAGGGGTATGAACACCTTAAGATTGAAAGAGAATTAACTTTAATTCATGAGATGCAAAGCATCATAATTGTCGCGTCACAAAAACCACCTGCTGCCAAAAGAAAATTTTATTTTGTGTTGTAAAAGAGAAAAAATTAACATTTCGTGTTTTAATAGTTATTTTTTTAATTTTATAATCTATGTGAAAAAAAAATTTTTTAATACAGACTTTAAAAAATTGTTATATTAATATACTTATTTAATTGTACTTATATTTGTTGTTCCTTTAATACAATAAATACAATTTACCTATCTCCAATTCATCACTTTCCGTATCCATATACCTAGGGTCCGATTACAATTAGAAAAACACCGCTACGTCATAACTATTATTTCGAATTTCCAATCTACAGGGTGTCCCGAAATTAGACGGTCATATTTTAACAGCGTAATCTACATCCTACAAGTATTAGAAATTAAAAATAAAAAAAAACCGAATTCAATAACGTGCAGATGCCGTCACCACATCTTAACCAAATTTATATAGGATCACCCCTGAGGTACTACCAAAAAAAGAATCATATAAATCGGACAAGGTGGTAAAGCATTATCGCTAAACATACATAAAAAATGAAGAGTTTGAGAATTTTCAAATGGGCCCAATTATTAGATTTTGACCAAATCTATATGGAACCACCCCTGAAGTACCCTCTGTCTAACAAAAAAAGAATCAATAAAATCGGACACCGTGTTAAAGAATTATCGCTGAACATACATAAAAAAAATAAAAAAAAATATTGCGACAAATTGAGAACCTCCCTCCTCCTTTTATGAAGTCGGTTAAAAATATGAGTAAAAGGTTATATAAACATAGGTCCGAAAACTTTTCGTTTTCGAGATACAGGGTGTTACAAGTGAAGTCCAGATGAAATATTTTCAAAATTTCTTTAGTTACCGGTTTTTCAAAGTTAAAAAAAAATAAAATTTCTAATTCTACAGACCTACTAATTATACCGGCACACAAAAAAAGTGCTCTGTTCTTTTGACCGGACCAATCTATCTCTATGTATTTTGACCCGCTGAATCCGAATCTGAGGTCAGTTTGGCCAATACACCTCCAAAATTTCGAGAAAACTTCAAAAAACCGAAAAAAATGACGAAAATCGGCAATTTTGGTGATAGAAAAAATTTTAAGGACTTAAACCAAGCATGATTTTTATGTATTTCGATCCGCTGAATATGAATCTAAAGTTTACTTAGACCATAAGCCCTTTAATACATAAATAAATTCCAAAAAACCCTCAAAAATTGCTGAAAATTGCGATTTTTATGAAGAAAAAAATTGTTTCGAAATCTTTCATGATTCTCATATATTTCGATCCGCTGAATACGAATCTCGAGCATATTTAGCCCATACATACTTAAAAACGTACGTAAACAGCAAAAAATCTCCAAAAATTTCGAAAAATTGGAGTTTTTATGATGAAAATCAAATTTTAAATACAAAAAAAATGTATTTTACATGTTTTTTTTGAGCTGTAGAGTATAAATTTAAAGTTTATTTGGCCCGGAGCCCTAAAAAGATTTTAGTTAATTGCAAAAAATCTATAAAAAATTATAAAAATTGCACTTAAAATAATTCAAAAAATTGATTGTACTTGATTAAGTTATTTTTTTTAAAAAATCTATTCTAAAACTTTTGTCTTCATGATTTCAATCCCTTCTTCGCTTATATCGAATCCTTTTGTCTTCAAATGACCTACGTAAAGGGTTCCTTTTTCGCTTTCTCAAATTAGAAAAAGGAATTCTCAATGGACCTTAAATTTAGATTTCATTCCAGGAACAATTGCTACGCTCGAGATTGAGATTCAGTCGATCAAAATAAATAAAAATCATAAATAATTTCTATTTCTCATGAAAACTCCAATGTATGGACTAAATATGCTCGAGATTCGTATTCAGCGGATCGAAATACATGAGAATCATGAAAAATTTCGAAAAAAAAAATGTTTCTTCATAAAAATCGCAATTTTCAGCAATTTTTGAGGGTTTTTTGGAATTTACTTATATATTAAAGGGCTTATGGTCTAAGTAAACTTTAGATTCATATTCAGCGGATCGAAATAAATAAAAATCATGCTTGGTTTAGGTCCTTAAAATTTTTTCTATCACCAAAATTGCCGATTTTCGTCATTTTTTTCGGTTTTTTAAAGTTTTCTCGAAATTTTGGAGGTGTATTGGCCAAACTGACCTCAGATTCGGATTCAGCGGGTCAAAATACATAGAGATAGATGGGTCCGGTCAAAAGAACAGAGCACTTTTTTTTGTGTGCCGGTGTTATTGTTTACACTTTCGAATAAGGTAACATGCTTTTCTTTTGAAAATGGCTCGTCCTAGCGAGATGCAACAAATGTAGCTTTATTATACAGAAAATATTGCTTTCCAAATTTTATAGTCAAAAAATCTGATGTGTCCAACACATGACTTTCCTATCTAGTTATTATAGGCTTTTTCTGGTTATTTTGTACAACTTATTGCAGTACCTCTATAAATGTTTAGAGTATAAACTAAATATATACATTTTCCACATACATCTATCTACCTCGAAACATTTTTCTATAGTTATTCATTGAAAACGAAAATACTGAAAAATTTAAATTTAGCAATTTTCCTACAATTTTTCCATTACGGTCCATTTTAGAAAAATCATGTATAAACAAAAATTATAGAGATCGATATCGCAAACAACTTTTAGTTTAGTTTAGAATTTTGCACATTTTGTCAAATTTCTCGAATACGGACCATTTCAGGAAATTTTGACATGAAGCAAAAATTATAGATAATAATATTAGAAGTAACTTTTATTTGAATAATGTTCTTCTCCAAACATAAATAACAGATATATTCAATAAAATATAAAAACGGCCTCCCATAAAGTACCCCTCCAGATGTTCCGACTTTGTCCAAAATCTAATTATTTCACGTCAGGCCGAAATAAAACTTAAGTTTAAAATTTAGTGTTTTTCTGTGTATCGGTTCATGAGTTATGGTGGATATAGACACACAGACACACACGGCAATTTTACCCTAAGCTCCCCCTAATTTACCCACCTAAGAAGATTATCAATAACTGGGGTTTAGTCAAATAAATGAAGCGTAAAAAGGTAAGTATTTGTAACAAATTTTACCTAATTATCTTTAAACGTTTAGAAAATATTTACAAAAGTGTGGTATCAGGACTTCACCTTTAACACCCTGTATCTCGGAAAAGAAAAGTTTTCGGACCTATGTTTATATGAACTTTTACTACTATTTTAGGATGTAAATTACGCTGTTAAAATATGACCGTCTAATTTCGAGACACCCTGTATATCATCTATAACTATCAATAAATAAAAAATATTTGAGTTGTTTGTTTAAAAATAGTATTCCTACATTCGTATGCCACTAACCCCCAGTAGGCGGCGATAGCCAACGAATTATACCTGAATTGTAATCGGACCCTTCAGCGTACGACACAACATAGCCAAATTTATGTCGCGAACAAGGTTCCAAATACTTTAAGGGGAGGTCGTGAGATTCGTGTGGTGTGACGTCAGAAGGGACTGGATTGCTCTTAAATAGATAATATACAAAGTTAGATTGCAAAAAAGTACAAACGTTATTTTTGAACGATACGTTCTAAGCACATTCTCCCAAATTCCCAAAGTACTAAGTTCACTGGTATTCTCATAGCAACAAACGAAATAACCAGAAATAATATTGGTGTATATTTTTTCCCATTCTTTTCATTCAAAAAGAAGCCACCTAATGTTCAATAGCAAACCAATGAACATGACTGGTTCCAATTATAGTCGCTTAAGACTGTGATCAAGATAGTATTTACACAAGAGTACATACAGAGGATCAACTTCATATGGGAGGGCAAAGCACGCGCTGCTACTCTGACGCACCGGTAAACACGGCTTCGCGAGGAGAAACCAGGATCGTACTTAAAAATTTAAAAAGTAAATAAATTACGTTTTTTTTTATAAATACCGCTCTCAATCACAAATTAAAAAAGGAAAATAAAACAAAAATACGAAGATTAAAACATTATTTTTAAGAATGTTTCCAAATTAATAATTTATCTTTATTATCATTAACTTTTTATTTCTATTAATGTATTTTAATGTATACTCAACAATGGAGGTGCTATTCGCTCCGTGCGCGACAGCAGCGCCAATTTGTTTTGGTATTAAAGAAGTATTTCTGCCTATACTGACAAATACAATTTTTAATAGAATTCGTAAATAAAAAGTATATATGTTAGTTTTAATAAAAGTATATGGATTTATAAAACAATTAAAACATTAATTTATTATTATCATATATTTTTCACGCTTAAATTGAAGAAAATTATGTATAATCATTAAAAATCAATAATAAAATATAGGCAGGCAACAGTATTTACTGGAAAATGTATGAGAAGTTGCCTAAGTCTAATAAGTTGTCATTGAAGAAACCATTTATAATAGCGTGAAGTTAAAATGTATAAAAAGGATCGCTACTTATATTTTCATTTTTGTTCTAAAGAAAACATAGAATGAATGATTAAAACTGGTTTCCGATCAGTAAGTCACAAAATTGCATACCAGCCAAATATTATAATCAACGGCAGAAATCTTGAAATCTAGTCCTTGCTGAATGAACATTTAAGAATAAAGGGATATTAAAGAACATCGTAAAATGATAATTTATTGTTTATTTAAAAACTTTCTAGTTTCTGATGTCTACTATTTCCAGCATTACTGTTATCACAAAAATAAAGGTAATTTTTCTTCTTATTGTACACCTATCCATTTATTTCTTTGATTTAATTTCCACTTTGTTAGTGAAATTTGTTATATAAGTTTCACTGTTTTTTTTGCTAGTATTTGTACAATTTTCAACACAGCAACTCCGGTTGCTTATTGTGTTGTTTTTACCTACTTTTTTGAAAAAAAGTTAAATGTATACGTGTATTTGATATGCCAAAATTACAAAATATCCCCCTAAAATGCACGAATTATCCGCAGCTAGCGCTAGTATCGCTTTTGCTTCCCTTTCCATGACTTCGCACGGAGCGAATTGGTCTTACAGATTCCTTAATTCTAATGTCTTGTAAAATCTTTATTTTTGTATGGTACTCCATTGGTACGTTTGTGCTTGATGGAATATCTGAAATTGAGTATCAGCATTTTTTAATTGATCCAAGCATTTAATTGCTAATAACAAAAAAAAATTGTCCTACTTTACGTTACCATGACAACACAACAGCAAACAAATACTTGGATCTGTATGAGTCTGTCAGTTTTCACACTTTGTTGGAGGTGCGAACAAGATGATGATTCAAGCATATCCTATATAGTTGCCCAACGCTATCTTCTACCAAATGATTATAGTTCAGCGAGTATTGGCCACAGTTGCCAGCAGAATCTTTTAAACTGTACTGGAAAATAAATGAAAATGTACTAGATTCTTTTTTTTTGTACTAAAAGACTCTAAAACATTAAAATATATTTGATTTTCACCCAAGATATATGGTTCATAAAAGCATAACATTTTACTAGTAATAAAAATTCATTACAAACAAGATTTTAAAAATAATATAACTACGAACTAAGCAATTACGGCCCAAAAGGTTAATATCTGGGATAATGGCTCTTGCCAATAGCGTTCCTAACAGTTGCCAGAAGAAAAATTTTCAAGACTTGGGTGCTTCGACACTTCCTCGTGCCAGAGTTTTTTCTTTCCGCACTTATTAAAAAAGAAAACTATTTACAGGTACATTCTAAAGAATAAAATAAAATACTTTCGTTTTTTTTTCTTAATAATAAATTACCAATTGCGATGGATAAATAGAAAATGTACTAAAAATTATCATATTATATTTTTTAAAGATTTATCATTTCATATGTAGGTTTAAAACTTAACACATTTCACGTATTTCCTTATGTAAAGTGGCAACCGGTAAAATTTTCTGAAATTTTTTGTATGATACTGTACTCAACCTACTAATTAAAAGTGTAAATAGGCTCAACTTAATCCTATGACTAGTTTTCGAAATGAAAGTTACTAATCGCCTAGTTTTTCGAAATTTTTATTTTCAAATTTATGAGCTAGATTGAATTTCTGCTGTATAAACACACATTTATTACATGTTTTAGTAATACATTACTACATACGTATAATTAAAAATATTTTTAGTTACAGGGCGATTTACAAATGTATGATGGTAGTCTTTCCAAAATCTCACAATTATACTGTGACATCAGGGAAGCATATTTTTAAAAAAATACTACACAATATGGTATTTTGGCAACAAAATGGTATAGAATACCTTTCCTATAAAGGGTGTTCTAATAGAAACAGATTACTATCTATATATTTTAAAATCTTATGGTTACATACCTACCTAATGTAATAATATAGATTGGCTGGATGTCTCACCCTGTATGAAAAGAAATTAATGAAATAATTTCTCTGTGGTGCAACTGTAGTTATTCAGTGTTTGCAAAAATATATTGTTATTGTGATTTATTCGTGAAGCACCTCGTAACAATTGTTTTAAACCATTAGCGGCTTGTATCCAAAATATTGGAAGTTCACAATTACATAATATAGATATGTATTAGTACAGATGTAGGTAAAAATCTTTCAGAATCTTCGATATTATATACCTTCCTAAAACACTGAAAGTTTTTTACCTACAACTGTAGTGGTATCTATATATACTGTCATTGTGAACCACCAATATTTTGGTCACAAGCCGCAACTGTCCCTTGTATTGGACAAAACTTATATTTAATTTATATATTCTATATAAAGACAATCTAGCTTTTCAGTTTAAAGAAAAAAACTAAAATCAACAATTCTTCACTTTAACGCCATATACGTATCTAGAAAATTGGTCATAATGGGTCCTATGATTAAACGTTTACGTTATCCGTAACGTACATGTTAGGCCGAGTTTTAACAGTAACGAGGCAAGTTTGTATGATGAAAAACTTGTCCCAACACATTACTGTTATTTTCCGCCTGTTATGTTCTAATTTAACAGTTTTCCATCATACGAACTTGCCTCGTTACTTTTAAAATTCGGCCTAACATGTACGTTACGGATAACGTAAACGTTCAAGCATAGGACCCATTAGAAGTGATGCTATGAACGTAAATGTATATGTGAAAATTGACATCTACGCATGCGCATTCAAATATCCTTTACGTTCACGTCTACGTACATACGTAAGCTTGCGGGATCTGGCGTATGCACGTAACGCAAATAAAATAACCTCTTTTTAATTGGGAAAGAAAAAATCCTAATAATAATTGTCATTATCTGTCATGACACGTAACTGTCATGATGCGTTTAACAACTTCAACTCATATTTTGGATTATACCGTAAACATTATTTTTGTGCGTTGACGTTCACGTGTACGTTAACGTACTGGAAAAATTTAAACTCTCTATTATCGGATTTAAAATACCTAACTCTTAAAACGGTGTTAAAATTATTATATAGAGATAAAATGGTTACATTTGACCGGGAAAGTTTAGAATGTTTGTGGTTTTTTTTTACTTTTATTAAAATAGAATATCTTCCAACAAATAAGGCACGCATATTTTAGTGATATTATTTTCCCCAAAAATCAATTCATATGTACATGGTTTTAAAGTAATCCTTAAAAACAATTATTTTGTGGTTATCACTATAAAACACCCTGTATAAGAAATGTATATTGTGCAATATGTTGTCGACACACTAGAATTAGTGAGATTTTGCAAAAAAACTACCGTCACATTTGTGAATCATCCTGTAATTAAAATTATTTTTAATTATACGCATGTCATAATATATTACAAAAATATTAAACTCATTAAACGTGGGTATGCAACAAAAATTCAATCTAGCTAGTAAGTTGTAAAATAAAAATTCCGAAAAATTTGGCAATTTTTCAGTAAATCATACAAATACGATAAATATAACTTTACATAGATATCAAAAAAAATATATGTTTATCAAGGACCCAACCACGCATATACATACATATATCGTTTCTTTGAAATAAGATATGGCAACGTTTGGATCGAGCTCTGTAACAAAATTTTAAATCTTGTATGATTGTCATCGTTGATGAAAGTTCTGAGAATATAACACTACTAACAATAATTCCGTTAGGTATGTAACTGCCCCACTTGCATTTCTTCAAAAAATTGTCTCAGCAAAAATTTCCTGTCTAGAGCTGTGTTTTAGGCAAAAAGGTGAATTAACATTAGTGTACCCAGAGTCAATAGCTTTGATACCGATTGTTACATAAATTATATTATTTAGAATTTAAAATAAAATAATTTTAGAAACCTCGACCCAGAAGTTTTTATAGTCATGAACATAAACTTTTCATCCCGAACGTCATCGATGGACGTTCAACTGAACTTAGAATCGTCTGTAGAGAAACGAACCAAAGAGATTTACGGTCCTCCTATGGGAAAAAAACTAATTTGCTTCATGGACGACATGAATATGCCGCAAGTGGACGACTACGGCACTCAACAACCCATAGCTTTATTAAAATTGCTATTCGAAAGAGGAGGATTTTATGACAGAGGCAAAGAAATTATTATTTTTTATTATTTCCACAGCAACGAATAATTTATTTGGTTTTTAGGTAAAGACCTTAATTGGAAAATACTGAAAGACATTTCATATTTCGCTGCTATGGGCGTAGCGGGAGGCGGAAGGAACGAAGTCGATCCTCGCTTCATGTCAATGTTCACTGTCATTAACTTAGTATTTCCAACGACCAGTACTCTCCACAGGGTATATACGTCCATTTTAAGTGGGCATCTGAGAACCTTCGAAGATGAGGTCCAAATCGCACCGACGCTAATAACCATGACACTGAATTTATATAATATTTGCGTAAACCAATTGCCCCCTACCCCCAGCAAGTTTCATTATATTTTCAATATGAGAGATTTGTCTAGAATAACCGCAGGTAAGAAATTAATTATTGTTATATTAGTTTAATTATTATTATTGAATCCTGAAGCTTCCTGGGTAAAGAGTTTTTAGTAACATTGCCACTAGGTTCCTCATTAGGTATAGTTGCATCTAAAGGCAGAATAAACTTTTTGGTATATTTCTTAATATAATTACCTGCAGTTATATTACATTGGGAATGTTACACAGAACAACTGAAGATTCTCTAATTAAAAATAAGACGATAAGGACGGCTCTTTATGTGCACCGGCGTTGTAGAAATGCAATAACCTCAAATTTTTTATCGAAACTGAGGGTGGGGCTTATGAATGCGAAAGAGATTAGGTCAAACTATTGAGGTAGTATTATAGGGAGACGCGATCACGGTCAAAAACGGCATCAGTCCGCCATACTGATGCGATACTTAAGTCAAATAGCTGTCGCATTGTCGTGATTTCATTAATGTGATTTGTATGATCAAGTTTTTGTGCTTTTATTTGCTTTTTTTGTGATATTTAAATAGTGATATTTAAAATATTTGTGATAGTAAAATAAAATAATTGTTTCATGTGCTCTTTATAACTGCAATAGCAGAAATCCAATTGATAAAAATAAATCAACAGGAATAACATTTCCTGAGTTAGTATACAAAATGATAACAATAAACAGGGTAGTATTTGAAAAATTTATTTTTATATTTTGCTTATTTAAATAGTTTCTGGGTGAACACATTTTACGGTAATTGTATCATATACTTACGGTTTTCTATTTTATAATCGTTTAGATATTCCATTTTATGCTGTGCAAGTGTTTAATTTTTTCCATATAATAGGCAGATCACTGTATATGACAAATAAAGCCCAAATAACAAATTTTTTTAATTTAAGATTTCCTAAGGAATAAAATTATGAATTATTTGCCAGACAGACTCTCTGTTAGAATTTTCCAAATTTATTATTGCCTATATAGCAGAATATATTGTTCAATTTTTAAAGAAAAAAATATTTTATTTTGATTATATATCTGCTTTGACAAGTGACACGAGGAATTTGTATCTATTCTCTTTTATAGCTCTGTATCTGCAACGTGTGGAGTTAACCCACGGCCGCTAGGGCTTACTAGGCTATTTGTCCTCCTAAGTGCTAGCTCGTGAGCTAGTCAACAGATTTAATGCAGTTAACAACGTCGCCAAGAGGTGCTTCATTTATATAGGCCGGTGTTAGGCAATTCTCGCCGAACACAAATATTCAAATAAATAAGAGCAGCAGGAAATCGTAGAGGATATGCTCGATAGTCTCACCTTCTTGTTCGCACCCCCTGCAGTGTGTGGATTCTGACAGCCCTATGATATGGATATACTTCTGTACTTGACAATGACCAGCCAGCATGCCTGTGATCAAGCGCAGATTCTGTATAATCATAGTCAAGTATTTATTTAATGTAGTGTTATTAGAATAACTTAAAAACTGCCTGGCAAGTCTGCAGGTTCTTGTTTTATCCCTTCTTTCCTTGAATTTCACAAAGGAATGTTCTTTAATTAGGTTTGTCACTAGCGATTAGTCCGAAAAGTATTTGGTTGGCTAGCGAATCAGCAAGACGATTACCTTTCGATGTGGCGTGAGCTCTGATCCATCCTAGGATGACCCCATATTTGATGGATACTTTGGCCAAAGCTTCGAGACATTCTAGTACTAATCCTAAGTAAATTCGTGGTATGTCCAAGGTGAGTAGTGCTTATCTGTTATCTGTATAGATGAGCATGTTCCTTCCAGTAATATTGATTCTGGTGATTTATTTTGCTGCTACGAGAATCCCCGTGAGCTCGGTTTGACCTACACTAGCACTATTGCTTACAGCCCTTTTTATGTTTAGGTTTAAGGATCTGGACATACCGAGCATTGTTTTGTTTTAGAACCGTAGGTGTAGATATGAATCATACCTGTCACTTCTCACTCTTCTATTTATTCTATTATAACTTTGTGTGGCTAATAAAAGATATACCTTCTTGAGATAGAGTCCAAGTTTGCTTTAAGCAGTAGGAGCGTATCAAGCGCCATGTCATTGTCATCAGAACAACCTCATTGATGTAAATATTAAGGGGAGTGAGACTAAGAATGATCTCCATGGCTCTGGTCGGTGTGGTTTTCATGGCACCTGTTTTATTGAGACATGGTGTTCTTTAAATTTGTTCTAGTTTGCCGATAGTTGGTAATTGTTTTCGGTACTTAAACAACTGCACCGTATGCTTAGATTATACAAACCTTAGATGGAACATAAGACACTGCGCATAATCCCATTTCAAAATGATTCACACCCACCAATCACAGTTGAGAACATTACATGTCAGACCCTTGTCCATCCAAATTTAATGTGTCAACGAGAATTAATTTGGTATTTTAGTGACTTAAATTTTGGAAATTAACGTTGAAAATGCCAAGATGTGTTGTAAAAAGCTTTATTTATAATAAACCTGCGAAATGTGACGGAGATAAAAGAAACTTATATTTATTTCGGTGAGATATTTATTTTTTAAAGACGTCCATATTTGTTGATTTGAAAATAAACAGAATCGGACTTGGTCATTGGTACATGTTATAAGTAGCATTATAAACTGTTTACTATTTCTTGTTTCATAGGGAATCTTTTTTTAGGAAGTGAAAAGAGAAACATACAATCAAATACAAAAATATCAATTTCATTGCCAATTTATTCGTTTCAAACTTCACAACTGGTTTCAATAGTTTTCTCAAAACTATTTATTTAGTAATTCTCTATAAAAGTGTTACTCTAAGTGTAAAGCCAAAGTTTCCGCGAAGAAAATAATCACAATAAAAAAAAACAGTACTATCGCCACAAAATGGAGGGACCTGGCTTGAGGACCGTTTTTTGGGAAGTAATTTTTTAAGTCACTAACAGGAAGGAGGATATGATTTTGGTTTAGGACTTTTTTTATTTAATTTTTTATGGGTGAAATAGATTTGGGATAATTTTTGCAAGGAATCTTTGGAATAAATCAAAAATAAATGATGCTCTTGTGCATTTTCAGCCGATTAAATTATTCGTAGATGCATCAAATGTGGGAATAAAGGCCATGATATGTCATGTTTTTGAAAAAAAAAAAAAAAATATTGAGAAATCTATAGTTTCTGCTTCGCGTACCTTATCAAAGTCCGAACAAAAATATTCCCAAATTGAAAGAGAGATCCTTGCAATAATTTTTGGCTTAAATAAATTTAATGAATATTTATATGGACATTTGCATAAAGTAGAACATTATGCAACTGATTACGAAAAGTTGATTATGTTACCAGTTACGAAATGAAAATAAATAAAACTGCCTCTTTTTTGGTTTCTAAGTTGAAAAATCGTAAAATCGAGAAATTGAGATACCGAGAAATCGAAAAATCGAGAAATCGAGTAATCGAAAAATCTAAAAATAAAAAATTGAAAAATCCAAAAATCCAAAAAAAGGAAAAATCGAAAAAACCAAATATCGAAAAAGAGGCAATGAATAGTGACATTTCACATTTGAAAATATGACATTACGTTTAAAAACAAAAAAAGAGAAGCTGTAAATTGCGTTTAATTTTTAAAATAACACCGTTATTGAAAACTGCCCAGAAATGTTGGGGGTAAAATTTTGACGTACTTCTTTAAGGATAATGGGTAAAAATGTTTTTTTTTTTCAAATTTCTCGCGGGTAATGTCAAAAATTAGATCGGCAACAGTGCACATATTCCTTATTTTTATTATTACTATTGAAAAAAAAAAAAACGTCGTAGGGCAATCAAATACAACAATTTTCTAAAATATTTGATTGGAAGTACCTACACAAGAATGATGGTGAATCATTTTTCAACACAATTTTATAAATATTCACGTCAAAATTAGAAAAAATCTTGTATATAAACACGTTACGAAATGCCGTTTTGTGTAAGTCGTTCATGTTGCGGGAACTCGCTCCGCTCGTTTTGCAAATATTTACTCGTTACACAAAATAAAGCATTTCGTAACTGGTTACATAAATAACTAATAATTGACTTTCTAATATTTTAATTCATTGGACGGTATTTTCCGTAAATTATTAAATCATAAATAATTACCAGGATATAAGTACCAAAACATTTTTTTCTCTTAGAACAGTAGGCCTATGTCAAATAAACTTAAAATATTATAACGAACGAAAAGGTAACCCATTTCTAATAAAATTTAGTTATTTATTTTATTTTGGTGTGATCGTAGAAAAAATCTTGTGTGTAATTCGAGCAAAAAGTACTCATAAACTTTTACTTAGGGTCGATTTCACCGTTTTATTAAACGAAGTTTAAAATACTAAACGAAGATTAAAATGACATTTTTATATTAACAAAAACGAAGTTTAAATTACTAAATGGAGTTTAAAATGACATTTTTATATTAACAATGTCATTTTAATCTTCGTTTAATAATTTAAACTTCGTTTGACACAACGGTGGAATCGGCCCTTAGCTAGTTATATATTGATAAAGTGTTATTGCCCTCATCATACATGAATCGTGCTAACAAATAAAGTCAAACAAACGTCTCATAATTTTTCATCTTTTAATTACCCACCAAAATTAGGTACTACAATACAAATATTTAAGTCCGGCCCAGAACACCTCCCTACTCCTTCCACCCAGTTTTTCGTTTTTGGCAAAATTCGCGCAGCGAGAAATGCTTCCTATAGGCGAGTTCGGTCAGTCAGGGGCTGGAGCGGGACAAATTTTAGGGTGCTTTTAAATGACATTTAAGCGTGTTAAACTGTCACTAATCGGACTAAACCGAACGCTAAAAGAGTCGTTTGGAGTTAAAAGTGTTAAAGGAGTTAAAGGAACGTGGCAAACCGAACGCAATGTATGTTACCTCTACCCTTTCTAACCTCTTTGACCGTATATAAGCATAGGTCTTATGATGGCCGTGTAAGACTACGCGATGGCTCTGGGGGAGAGATCACAGGTGCGCCCTACGGTTCGACGAGATTGTTCATAACCAATGTATGCTTTTTTACTCGGTTTTATACTCTTTTATGAATGCAAATAAAATATACTACATTATTCCTCAACAGAAGATATGTATTCGAAGTGAAAGAACTTAAAAAACCACTGTTACTTTCAAATCATGTAAGCAAATGTCAGTCGCATTTGGAGTCAATATAATCCTTACACAATTTGTAAGAAGAAATATTTTTTAAACTTACTAGTTCACGGTTATGACCAATCAGCATTGGATAACTATCGGGTATTGTTAATAGAAGCTGAGGCAGATAAGGCTATATCATTATGCCAAACAAAAATTAAATAAATATGAGAGTATAGGGAATCACAGTAATAAGATAGTTGCCGATTCATATAACCCTAGTTAAAAAAATATTAAGTTTAGAGAGTGAGGACCTGGCGAGGCATCCATATTATTATGACTTTAAGCCACGCCCAGTGCGCCGTTTTATCTCTGTGCGAAATAACTATTATAGCATCTCTTTATAATATTACCTCAATGGGTCAGACCACACACCTAGAGAAATATACGGCTAAAGAACGACTGCGCATCTGATCTGAGTGTCTACTGAAACGGGATAGAATATTCCGCCATTTTGCCTGCTAATTGTCAGATTTAATGTCAACTTTCGATTGCCAATAATGCCGATGCTATTTTAATGTTTTGCATTGTTTTCGTTTATGTTCGTGAATTATATTATGAATATGTAATAATGCAATTTCACAAAATAATGTTAATAGTTGATGCATAAACAATTATTTTTAATAATTATAAAATGCCTAGTAACAAAGGAGCTTGATGCATGCAATTTGTTTAACAAAAACGCATACTGTTGGTTGCATACTGTCTGGCTTTCACATTACCATGTATTGTTGGTTGCATATATGTTTTGACAGATTTCTGGCAAAATGGCGGCTTATTAGACTTTAATTGTTGCCGTGTCGGATGTCTCTCTAGGTATGTGAGTCAGACAAACTTCGTACGGCAAGTTCCAATTCGCAGGCGATATTTTCAATGCGAACGAACGGGCATGTCGTTTAACAATTTTTTGTGTTCAAGCGCATTTACTACGATACACAGATAGCACTTATGGTCGGAGGGTTTTTATTATATTTCATTATATTTTATTTTGTTTTATTTTATTTTCTCAAAACTAAAACAGGCTTTGCAGGACTTTCATATAAATAGTAAATTTTGCAATGTTATAGGTATTAAATTGTAATGAAATTATTTATCATTTTTAATAAATAATAAACGCGCTCGAACTGTTTGTCCTATGTCAGTATCTTTTTGAGTAACAGCTGCGCACCGCCGATCGACATATCGATGCGCGGTGGTACTGGTCGTTGGTGGGAATTTCTCTCGCTTTCGTCGCGAATTAAAAAGATTTGGAGAGTAGAGATAGACAAATATCGATAGTTACAACTATCGATGGTGGCGATAGTTTTCTGAAGAACTATCGATACTATCGATAGTGCTATCGATAATATAATTAACCTATAAATATGACAAAACAGAAGAAAATATTCAAATTTATAGTCTAATAATTAAAAAATGAGGGCTTTCACTTTTTCAGGGTATATAAAAATTAAATAAAAACAACTAAAAATTGCTCTTTTCAATCCAATGTATTTCATCTTTAATATACGGGGTGGTAAATATTTAAAGAGTATAGACAGTATAACAGTATATACCAAAATAAACAAAAGTCTTAATAAACATAGGTCCCCAAAGTAACAGTTTCAGAGAGATATGGTAGGTTATTATTTTTAAAACATGTAATTACAATTATTTATTATGTAAAAACAAAGGAAGCTTCAAAAAAAAAATAAATTTAGATAAGATGTTCAAAGTGCACTCCTTCCATTTTCATGTATGCATGACATCTTTTTCTGAAGGATATTCAAACTATTATTAGCTCGAATTTGTTGGCATTTTTTGTTAATTCGTTGCTACAGCTCTTCGAGGCAATTTCACAAAACATCAGCCAACTATGATGCAAGTTTTTAGGAAATAAAAAAGGAAGTAAAAGAAGAATAACCTTCAAAATCTTCAAAACAGTTACTTTGCGGACCTATCTTTATTTAAGACTTGTTTATTTTGGACCACACTGTTACCTCTATAAATAATTTCCAGTCTTCTTTACCACCCCCTTTATAACTATAACCAGTTTTTTCTAAATTAAAATATTACCAATCTCATCTCTTTAGAAATAATTCCAAATATACGATTTTTGTCGTTTTACCATTTTATATTTTTAATGAATCTCCAAGCGCAAAAAAAACAAAAACATCGAAATTAGCCATCGAAATATACATTGTATAGGTTATATTTTCCTTCTTTTTCATCATATCTCGAACTTCGATAGCGAATTTGAAAATAAAACTATCGATACTATCGATAGTGCTATCGATATTTGGCCACCTCTATTGGAGAGGCACTTTATTTCAGACAGTTTAAAGTAGAAGCCGCATTTTCAGTTAGGTCCGCCGTTAGGTCGTGTTTATTAATCCTTGTTTCAGTTTTAATAGGGGAAACGTTTTATTTTTAGACTGCATTTTAGTTTAATTTAAAAACCAATTTATCTTTTGGAAATAGGAACGTTTAATTCGTTGTTGAGTTAAATATTAGAATTTAGTTCTTTGCAAATAGAATACCGTTTTTAAAGATATTGTTGTGAGAAAGATTTAAGGAATGTAACATTTTTTGTTAGTCTCAGACCGGTAATTTAATTTGATTTAATTTATAAATATTAGTTCTTTAAAAATAGAATATCGTTTCTTTAAAGGGAATTGAATTTGTTTTATATAATAAATGTTAGGATTTAGTTTTTTAAAATTGTAATATCGTTGATTTAGAAATTTTGTAGTTAGGCTGACCTAAGAAATTAAACTTTTCATTTTGGTAGGTCAAATCGGGAATTAAATTTGATTTCGTTGATAAATACTTTTGTTTAGTAAGTGCCGCGTTATAGATAAGTTGGGAATATTTAGAAACTGAGTTTTCGAGGAGACGTTTTCCCTCTTTTAATAGTTTTGTTTCCTCTTTTACCGCAAATTTAAATAATCTTAAATGGTATCCTGTCCCTGTCTGAGCGGGCTCGTGATGACGATCAGCTCATTCTTGGATTAGGTACTATCCGCGTTAGTAGTTTTCTTCCCTTTGTTAATAGTTTTCTTTTCTCTTTCATCGCCGATTTAAATAATCTTAAATAGCATCCTGTCCCTGTCTGAGCGGACTCGTGATGACGATAAGCTCATTCTTGGATTAGGTACTATACGCGTTAGTTTTTCTGGCATTATATCATGACCTTCTTCCTGTACTTTCACCTCACCTACGCAAGTTAAAAATGGACGTGCTATTATATGCTGACTTTAACCACACCCAAGTATTGCATGAACTGCTGAGGTGAAAGTACAGAAACAATGTCAAGATTTAAATGTATTTAGGGTTGGATACAGAATTGAAATACCTTTCAAACGAGGTATCACATAACTCACTTCCCATTTATTAATTTTTTTTTA